TGGGTGGCAGGGGCCCAAGCACTTGGGCCATTTCTGCTGCTTTCCCAGGTGTGTTAGCAGGGAGCTGGGTTAGGAATGCAGTAACTGGGACTTGAACCTGTGCTCATATGGGATGCTGACTCTGTGTCCCAACACCAGCCCAATAAACCTGTTGTTAATTCCTTTTTCCACAACATTTCTGAAGTATCCTTATACACGCACACACACACAACACTGTAGAAATATGTATACTCACATCTCATTAGAAGATGACTATAAGTGACTTGTGGGGAATTTAGAAACTACAGACAGAGAACAGGAAAAGAAAGAAATCAGCTGTAGTCCTACCATTTGGAGAGGGGGAGGAGGTCCTAGGAGGGCACTGCGTCCCCTTCAGAGGCTGCTGGGGAGGTCCCCCGCCCCCAGGGGTCCTGACACTGATGCAGAGTTCTGGGTCAGGAGACAGAGGCGTGCGGGCAGGGGAGGGGCACTGCCTCCCACTCTGACTTCAGGAAGAGTGTTTTCTTATGGCCTTCTGAGTATTTGTTGTAATTGTTCTGCGCAGGGTGCTTTTAACGCACAGTTAACACCACATTGTTCACGGAGTGCAGGGCTGTGACAGACAGCACTGGCCAATGGGTGGTTTATAATTAATCATTCCCTATTTTAAAAAAGCCAACAACCAGTGACTCAGTTGTAAAGACTTAGAAAACCATCGCTCAAGCTCTCTGGCACAGGAAGCAGCATTGTGTTGTTCCCTGCAGTTCTGCTTTTGTAGAAGAGAGGAAAAAAAGTCTTTTTATTTGACATTTCTCCGGGCTGCCCAAATGCTTTGGCCATTGTTGGTGAGCACAGGAGCAGAACAGCCCCTGCTATTGTTTGCACTGGTCACTGCACAGGGCCAGTTTCCATCTGCCCTGGGGCAAGGCAAGTGACCGCAAGGACATGTGTCCTGAAACAGGCACAGGCAGAAGCAGAAGAGAGAGCCCCCTCTGCCCCAGACTCATTTTTTCTCTCTGCACCAGCTCCTGGTTGGGAAAAGCTGGCTCCTCTGCCCACCGCACAACGTGAGAGGCACAGCTGGGCCACCAGGGACCACCGTGCCACCTGCCAGAGGTGCTCCTGGGAGCCATGGAGTGGCGACTCTGACCCTGTGGGCACCTCCTGGCTGTCCTACATTAAGCAGACACTTATGAAGCACCTACTGAACACTCTGATGGGTGATTAGCAAGAACTTACAGTCTTGTGGTCGTGGTTGGAGGTAGGGGCCTGTTTAGGTGCGGGTGCTTCAACAAGTTCATAGAACATGCATATTATCGGTCAAGTCCATGTTTTCCGTGAACTTTTTGAAGTGCCCTCATGTACTTGCATGTCGCTTCATGATAGGGTGGTGTATTCTGAGGATGAGCTGTTGGGTGACTTTTGGTTTTGTGTAAACATCATCTCATGTACTCACACAACCTCCATGGTATTAAGTCAGTCACCTGACATGGCCTCTTGATTCGATTAAGAAATGTAGTGGGGCTAGCGCTGTGGTATATGAGTTAAACCATTACCTGCAGTGCCGGCATCTCATATGGGCATTGGTTCAAGTCCTGGCTGTTCCGCTTCTGATCCAGTTCCCAGCCAATGCACCTGGGGAAGCAGTGGAAGATGGGCCAAAGTACTTGGGGTTCTGTACCCACATGGAAGACCCAGATGAAGCTCCTGGCTCCTGACTGGCCCGGTCCGACCCTGGCTGTTGCGGCCATCTGGGGAGTGAACCAGCAGTTGGAAGATCTCTCTCTTTCTCTATGTCTCTCCTTTTCTCTCTGTAACTTTTTTTTTTAAAGATAGATTTATTTATTTGAAAGTCAGAGTTACACAGAGAGAAGGAGAGGCAGAGAGAGAGAGAGATAGAGAAAGAGAGAGAGAGAGAAGGGGGGGAGAGGTCTTCCATCTGTTGGTTCACTCCCCAAATGGCCACAATGGCTGGAGCTGCGCTGATCCAAAGCCAGGAGCCAGGAGCTTCTTCCTGGTCTCCCACATGGGTGCAGGGGCCCAAGGACTTGGGCCATCTTCTACTGCTTTCCCAGGCCACAGCAGAGAGCTGGATTGGAAGTGGAGCAGCCGGGGCCCGAACTGGCGCCCATATGGGATGCCGGCACTGCAGGTGGCGGCTCTACCTGCTATGCCACAGTGCCAGCCCCTCTGTAACTCTTTCAAATAAAAAAAAAATCTTAAAAAAAAAGGGGCTGGTGCCGCGGCTCACTAGGCTAATCCTCCGCCTTGCGGCACCGGCACACCGGGTTCTAGTCCCGGTCGGGGCGCTGGATTCTGTCCCAGTTGCCCCTCTTCCAGGCCAGCTCTCTGCTGTGGCCAGGGAGTGCAGTGTAGGATGGCCCAAGTCCTTGGGCCCTGCACCCACATGGGAGACCAGGAGAAGCACCTAGCTCCTGGCTTCGGATCAGGGCAATGTGCCGGCCGCAGTGCACTGGCAGCAGTGGCCATTGTAGGGTGAACCAACAGCAAAAGGAAGACCTTTCTCTCTCTCTCTCTCACTGTCCACTCTGCCTGTCAAATAAATAAATAAATAAATAAATAAAAGAGAAATTAGGGATTGTGTGAACCTATTTTTTTTAAAGATTGATTAATTGATTGATTTCAAAGGCAGAGTTACAGAGAGGCAGAAGCAGACAGGGAGGTCTTCCATCCGCTGGTTCACTCACCAAATGGCCACGACTGCTGGAGCTGGGCTGATCCAGGAGCCAGGAGCTTCATCTGGGTCTCCCATGCCAGTGCCAGGGCCCAAGAACTTGGGCCATCTTCCACCACTTTTCCAGACCATGGCAGAGAGCTGTATCAGAAGTGGAGCAGCCGGGGCTCAAACGGGTGGCCATACGGGATGCCAGCACCACAGGTGGTGACTTTACCCAGTGTGCCAGCCCCATGAACCTAATTTTCACAGGAGGCAGGGACAGGTGGTTGGCGTAGTGGTGAATATGACACTTGGGTGCCGAGTCTGCTCCTGAGGCCAGCTTCCTGCTACTGCACAGGTAATGACACAAGTGCCCAGGTCCCGCCCCCTGGGCAGGAGACTTGGCTGGAGTTTCCAGCTCCCAGCTTCAGCCTGGGCCATCACAGGCATTTTGGGAGTAAAACAGTGGATAAGCACTCTCTGTCTACCAGTCAAATAAATAAAGTCAATTAATAAAAATTTTAAACATTAAAGTAAGGCAACAATAAACCCAGAATTCACAGTGTGTAGGTGAGGCAGCTGGAGGATGGGGAAGCCCAGGGAATTTTAGACAATGATCATAATCATTTTTTTAGATATTTTTTTGTTCTAAAGGGAGAGAGAGAGAGACCGACCCACCTCCGTATACTGGTTCATTCTTCAAATGCTTGCAAAAGATGGTGCTGGGCCAGTCTGAAGGCGAGAGCTAAAAACTCAGTCTGGATCCCCCATGTGGGTGGCAGGGCCCCAGTGACTTGAGCCATCACCTGGTGCCTCCCGGGGTGCTCCTCATCAGGAAGCTGGAATCCGAAGTGGAGCTGGGACTGGAACTTGGGCCCTCGGACATGGCACGCGGGCGTCCCAAGTGGCATCTTTAGCGCTATGCCAACCTCTCACCCCGACATCTTGGCATGAGCTCCTGGGTGTTTTATACTTCCTAACTGTTATGTGCATCACACACATTAATTTGCATGTGTTCAATGTCAGCAAGTGAAAGGGAAACTTGGAGGGTGGCCAGGCAGGGTCCAGCGCCGGGTGGAGGCCATCTCTGCCCCTTTGACGCCTGGGTCCCTGGTCCCTGAACTGTGGCCTGTGGCCCATCTGGATGGTCAGGCTCGCCTGGCTGTGTGTGTGTGTGTGTGTGTGTGTCTGTCTCTGGCTCACCTGGGAGGGTGAACCTTACTTTTTCCTCACTGATGGCCACCAGGCAAGAGCTGCAAGCTCTCTTCCCTAGCGAGAAGGCTCGGCAGGTCAGAGGGAGACCCTGTGCTGGTCCTTGGTGCTGGGAGCGTGGGCAGGCACTGGTCAGGCGCTGGCAGCTGCCAGCCCTTCTGGAATCTTGGGCAGCTTTATTGCTGCTGTTGGTGGTTGACACACAGTGATACGTGTGGTTCGAAGGACAAAGTGTGCTCAACGTGAAAACTGGCCACATGCCCTGGCCTCCATTCCCTCAGCCAGTGAGCTGGGTAATTGATTGGCTAATAAATCAGACCAAGGTGATTGAGCTAATTTCTTTCTTAGATTCTATGAATCTATAACTCATACTCCAAATAAAAACACGTACTTGTTCCTTTAATCTTTAATCTTATTTTCCTTGAGCACACATGATTTTTTTCAGGGGTGGGGAATGTATTTGTGGGGTTTTTGTTGTTTTGTTTTTACCTTTCGATTTGGGCTTTAGAATAAAAATAGTAGGTCCTCGGTTGTTTAAGGACAGGTAGGCGCAGGGTGCCAGGGGAGCGTGGGGCTCAGCTCACTTCCTGGGGCTCCCGGGCGTCTCCTGACTCCTTTCTGCTTGAGTTACCTTCTGTATCCCGGGCTGTCCCACTGTGACTAGCCTGTGCCTCCGCGTCTTCCTGGGCACCGCGTTCCCGGGAGTCCCGCCTGGCTCCCTGGCAGGCATTCCCAGGGGCATGCATTCATTCGGGCACTTGCCAAGTGCTGGGTGAGGCGAAGGCTGAGTGTGAGAGGAACACAGTGGGACAGAGCGGACAGGGACCTCTCCAAGGGCGCGGAGAGCTGCGGCCCCACGGGTCAGTGGGGGCAGCTGGTAGAGGGTCCCGGGGCCCACATAAGCTTGGACTTTGTCCTGTGGACTCTGGCAGGCCTCTGAAAGTTTTGCTAAGTAAGCGAGTGGAGTGGCCAGGGATCAGGCAGCCGCATAGGCAGAGGTGACAGTGGCCTGGGCCTGTGTTTGTGATTTGACAGACGTGTAATACCGAGCCTTCATGACCGCTCCAAATCACACATGGAGTCCCCCTGTCATGCTGCTGTGGGCTCGCTGATCGTGTTACTCTTTCCCTAGAGGTGGCGAGCAACGTGGTGAGCAGCCAACCGGGAGCCAGTGTCACCCTGACCTGTCCAGGTGAGGAACTGGCAGACAATGCCAATGTGCAGTGGACGCTTGGGGGTCCACCGGAGACCTCACGCCATGGCCTGTGGGCTGGTGTGGGAAGGAGGCTGCTGCTGAGGTCGGTGCAGCTCGGCGACTCTGGAAACTACTCGTGCTACCTGAACGGCTATCCCGTTGGCTCTGTGTGCCTGCTGGTGGACGGTGAGTCTTGCACCCAGAGTGCTCTGATGCTGGGGGGGCGGCGCCGATGCCTGGGTGTTCCCCAGAGATGCCCTGCTGACCCTACTAGTTCCTTGGACCAAGGATTTTGGGGAAAGGCCCCTGACACCTGCCAGTGAGATGCCAGGGGAGTGTCCTGCTGGTCAGGGCACCAGGCTGCTGGCAAACGCTGCCCGGCTGGCCTTGTGAGTTAGGACTTATGGCAGGCTGGGTAACAACAGCGTGGGGCCCGGGGCCAGGCCACCTGGGCTTGAATCTGCAGGGTCTTCCACCATAACTAAAATTAACATAGTATGAAAACGTTATGCATAGATCACAAACTTTTTTTTTTGCATGGAAATAAACTTATCCTTCTTTCTTTTTTCAGATTTATTTTTATTTATTTGAAAGAGTTACAGAGAGAGGTCAAGACAGAGAGAGGTCTTCCATCCACTGGTTCACTCCCCAAATGGCTGCAACAGCTGTAACAAAGCTGATCCAAAGTTGGGAGCCAGGAGCTTCTTCTGGGTCTCCCATGGAGGGGCAGGGGCCCAAGGACTTGGGTCATCATCTACTGCTTTCCCAGGCCACAGCAGAGAGCTGGATGGGAAGTGGAGCAGCTGTGACTAAAACTGGTATCCATACGGATGGAGGCACTTCAGACCGGGGCTTTAACCTGCTGCGCCACAGCGCTGGCCCCAAATATCCTCTTAACTTCTCTGCCTTTCAGATTCCTTTCTGATGAAAGAAAGTCAAGTTTATTACCTTACCTTAGAGCTTTTGCAGAGATGAAATGAGTGTGTGTGTAAAAATACGAGGGATCACTTGGGAGCTCAGTGTACCTGTGCATGGTGCTGAAAACGACACCCGTGCTGAGCTCAACAAAGATCCCTTCTTATGTTTAGAGTTAGCAAGTGCTTAGCTGCCGCCCGCCTCAGTGAAGGCTTGGTGGAACAGGTGTCCTGGATGCCAAGCCCTGGGCTAAAGCGCCTTCTCCCCTGAGCCTCATCCTCTCCCTGAGTTAGCTCGGTTAGCCCTGGGCCGCGTCCTCCTTCCCGGCCCCGCCTGCAAACACTTCTGGGCGTTAATCCCAGTCTCCATTCAATCTGTGTGTGGCCGAGCTTGGCCGTGCTGTCCTGGGACAGGACAGGCCCCAGGGCCGCTGGCAGGGGCTGAGCCGAGCGCCCTCCCTCGGCAGGGCGAGGCCGTGCAGCCGCAGCCCGGGAGCCCCGGCGTGGGAATGGCCGCACGCCCCGGGGAGCCCCACCCCCTCCTCACTCCGGCTGTTCTTTCAGTTCCCCCCGAGGAGCCCCGGCTCTCCTGCTTCCGGAGGAGCCTCATCAGCCCTGTGACTTGTGAGTGGCGTCCTCAGAGGCCGCCGTCCCCGACGACCAAGGCTGTGCTGGTGGTGAAGAAGTTGTAAGTGCCCCGGACTGGCTGCGTGTCTGTGCCCACCCTGTCCTCACCGAGGCCCCGCAGAGCGGCGCTGGCCAGCCGCGGATGCCAGATTTTATGGTTAGAAAGTAACTCCTTAGGCAGGAGGAGGAGGAGGAGGAGGAGGAGGAGGAGGAGGAGGAGGAGGAGGAGGAGGAGGAGGAGGAGGAGGAAATGGACGGGAGCCTGGAGACTTGGGTCTGGCGCTCAGCTCAGGGTGCTTCTGCTGATGGCGCTGTGGGCCATGGGTGACCGCTGAGCGCCTGGGGAGGGAGGGAGGTGGGGAGGGGAGCGAGGCCGTGCTTTCCCTGAGGTGTGCCCACTGTCACCCGCTAAGCCCACCCACTTGTCTATGACCTGAGCAGCTGTGACCTCAGCATCTGCCTGGGGCTCTGGGAGATGGCAGGTGAGCAAGTGAGGTGCTACCCTCCCCCACCGCAGGCTCAGCCTGTAGCCCAGAGACCCCACCTCACAGGCTTGGATGGGGGGGCAGTGCAGGGCAGGAGACGGTCATGGCCTCTCGTGACTGCGCCCATCAGCAGGGGGCGGGGATGCCTGACTCACTCAGATGTCTTCAGTCTCCCCAAATCCTTTTCGGGACTCCCCTGCCGGAAATGCTGCCCCCTCCTTGTGAACTCCTCCTGCGCTCCCGAATGCCCCACCGTAGCTGCTGGGGGGCGGCATGTCGGGGCACCCTGCCTCTCCCGCAGTGCCCTGAGGCTGTCCTGCAGCCTCCCTTGATTGATTTCTGCACACTCCCTGCTCCCACCAGTGCCAAGAGCACAGAACCTGGTAGGAAGTCAGAACTCACCATCCACCTGACACCCAAGTGCTTGGCTGAGCCCTCCCTGCGCCGCACTGGGCACTGGACTGTGTGATTTACAGATGTTTCCCAGTTACTCCTAACAGACCCCTAGGGGGTGAGTGCCATTAACAGTCCACTTTTTTTTTTTTTTTTTAAGATTTATTTGCTTTGAAAGGCAGAGTTGCAGAGAGGGAGAGAGAGAAGGAGACACAGAGAGATCTTCATCCGTTGGTTCACTTCCAAATGGAGGCTGGGCGAGGCTGAAGCCAAGAGCTAGGAGCTTCTTCCGGGTCTCCCACATGGGTGCAGGAGCCCAAGGACTTGGGTCATCTTCCACTGATTTCCCAGGCACATTATCAGGGAGCTGGGTCAGAATTGGAGTAGCCAGGGCTCAAATTGGCGCCCATATAAGATACCGGCACAGCAGACAGTGGCTTAACCCATTGTACCACAGCATTGGCCCCAACAATCCCACTTTGGGGGCTGGAGTTGGGGTCCCTTAGGTTAAGCCAGTGACTGTTGGCAGTCGCATCCCATATGGGCACTGGTTCAAGACCCTGCCGCTCTACTTCCTATCCAGCTCCCTGCTAATGCACCTGGGAAAGCAGCAGATGATGACCCAAGTTCGTGGGCCCCTGCACCCACGTGTGAGACACAGATGGAGCTCACGGCTCCTGGCTTTGGCCTGGCTCATCCCTGGCCATTGCAGCTGTTTGAAGAGTAAACCAGCAGATAGAAGATTCTCTCTCTCTTTCTCTGTCATTCAAATAAAATCTTAAACCAAATTCCCATTTTCAAAGGAGAAAACAGAGACTCAGGTTGAATAGCTTACTCAAAGTCGGAAAAGCTACGCACAGCCAGGCCAGCCCGCTCTGGGATTCAAACCTTGAAATTACACTTAGAAAAAGCCTGAGCTTCTAAACCCTGCACCTCCCCTTCCTGAAACCGTGCAGAAACAGAGAGGGAGCTCCGCCCTCGCTCTGTGTCCCACAGCCTGAACGGCCCGGCAAATGACTTCCAGAAGCCGTGCCAGTATTCTCACCACTCCCAGAAGTTCTCCTGCCAGCTGGCCATCCCGGAGACAGACAGGTCTTCCCACATCGTGTCCCTGTGCGTGGCCAACACTGTGGGCAGCAAGTCCAGCCGATGGGAGGTCTTCGACGGCTATGAGATCCGTACGTAAGCTCTTCCCCAACGCTAACTGTTTCCTTCCCTGATTTCCGAGCAGCTGGTGGGGGTGTGGCTGTGGGAGAGTTGGCGCCTTTTGGGCATTGCTTGCCAGGAGGTCTGGCTGGAAGGGACCAGGGCCCCCCGCCAGATGCGCGTGGGGAGCGCTCTGCAGCTGGGGCTGCGGGTGTGCGGAGCCTTCCCCGGCTTTTTCTCCCTGTACCCGGCTTGCTGCTGCGTCCGAGCCACGCTCTCTCTCCTGCAGTGCAGCCCGACCCGCCTGCCAACATCACGGTCACCGCCATGGTCGGAAAGCCTCGCTGGCTCCATGTCACCTGGCAAGACCCCAGCTCCTGGAACTCCTATTTCTACAGGCTGCGGTTCGAGCTCCGGTACCGGGCTGAGCAGTCGCAGGACTTCACAGCATGGATGGTGAGTTCCTCTCTTCCTTCTGGACGGAGATGTGCCCCTAGACACGTGCGGGGAGAATGGAGGCGCGGGAGCAAACAGTGGGTTCCAGGTCCTGCTCCACAGCTCGTGAGCCTCTCAGGCCTGTGCGTGGGGAGGAGAGGGAGTCGGGGGACAGACTGAGCTCTGAGCGTGGCCGGCAGGAGTCCATGGAGAGGGGGAGGGGGCAGTTGCGGCCTTTGTGAGCCCCAGGGAGCCTCTGTGGGCTGGAGGACCCGGGCTGGGCTGGCGGTGGGGTATGCCCCTGAGTCACTGCATGTCCCGCCCTCAGGTAGAAGGCCGGAGTCACCGCGTCACCCGCCTGGGGGCCCAGGGCCTCCAGCACCATAGCATCATCCATGACGCCTGGAAGGGCGTGAGGCATGTCGTGCAGCTCCGGGCCCAGGAGGAGTTTGGGCATGGCTCATGGAGTACGTGGAGTGCCGAGGTCCTGGGCACCCCTTGGACAGGTACGGCGGCGACGGCGGCGGCGGCGGCAGAGGAAGGTAGGGATGTTTTCACTTGGTGATGGTGTCAGCCCTACAAGCCCATGACAGGTTACCCCACAACAGCATTTTTTTTTTTAACGGAAGGAAAGCAATGTGCCTTCCCTTTTCTTTTCTTTTCTTTTCTTTTCTTTTCTTTTCTTTTCTTTTCTTTTCTTTTCTTTTCTTTTCTTTTCTTTTCTTTTCTCTTCTCTTCTCTTCTCTTCCCTTCCCTTCCCTTCCCTTCCCTTCCCTTCCCTTCCCTTCCCTTCCCTTCTCTTCTCTTCTCTTCTCTTCTCTTCTCTTCTCTTCTCTTCTCTTCTCTTCTCTTCTTTTCTTTCTTTCTTTCTTTTAAAGATTTATTCATTGAAAGTCAGAGTTACACTGAGAGAGAAGGAGAGGCAGAGAGAGAGAGAGAGAGAGAGAGAGAGAGAGGTCTTCCATCACTCTCCTAGTGGCTGCAATGGCCAGAGCTGTGCTGATCCAAAGCCAGGAGCCAGGCACTTCTTCCAGGTCTCCCACGCAGGTGCAAGGGCCCAAGGACGTGGGCCATCTTCTACTGCTTTCCCAGGCCATAGCAGAGAGCTGGATTGGAAGTGGAGCAGCCAGGGCTCGTACTGGTGCCCACAGGGAATGCCGGCACTTCGGGTGGTGGCTCTACCCCTATGCCACAGCGCCGTGCCCCCCACAGCAGCACTTGCTTGGGATCCTGTCCAGCCAGGCTCTATGCTGCTGCTCTGCCTGCATCACCACTTGCAGCTGCCTCGGGCTCCTGTGGCCCAGGGGGCCCTTGTTTCTCTTCAGGGCTTCTCCCCTGCTATTGGGCCAGCCCGGGCTGGGCGCCGGGAGGAGGCAGAGTAGGTAGGGAATCATCCCATGACTGGACTGAATGAGCCACAAAGAGCTGTAGCCCAAAGAGCTGAATCTATACAGTTACTGATGCTTTTTATATTTGAAAAGATGTTAAAGGTAATTATCATTGCTTCTGGGGAAATTCTAAAATTACTGTTTGTTGTAAAGCAAACAAAATGTATAGAAGATTATAATTATCACCAGTATTTTCATCTGGGAAAACCAATGAGAACTTTCTTTTTTTTTATATTTCATTTATTTATTTGAGAGGTAGAGTTATAGACAGAGAGAGGGAAAGGCTGAGAGAGAGGTCTCCCATCCACTGGTTCACTCCCCAAATGGCTGCAACGGCCAGAACTGAACCAAATCCAGGAGCCAGGACGTAGGAGCAGGAGCTTCTTCCAGGTCTCCCACGCGGGTGCAGGGTCCCAAGCACTTAGGCCATCCAGGCTTCAGATGGGCCAGCTCTGGCCAGTGAGGCCATTTGGGGAGTGAACCAGAGGATGGAAGACCTCTTTTTCTCTCCCACTCTCTCTGCCTATCAAATAGATAAATAAATCTTTTTTTTTAAAAAGTTTTATTTAGCAATGGCGTGATTAATTTTTCTTAATCGGTGGGAGGGTTTTTGTTGTTGTTGTTGTTGTTTTTTTTAACTTTTAAAGTTCTTATCACATGACTACATGGCCATGGCAATGAAGGACAGAGGGCCTGGAATGCTAAGCAGTGGTCCTTGGTTCTCTTTCCATTTCTAGTCCTGCCTTCTGGAGGGAGCTGCACAACCCTTTCTCTTTCTGATGGTGCCCTCCCCACCCCATCCCCCTTACTACAAACAGCAACCCTACCTGACCACTTGCTTTTCTACCACAACCCCTTGAGACATTATCTGTTGGTATCCTGGAATCAAAGATTAGGATTTGGCAGGATGAGAATGCAGGCGCCCCCCTGCCCACAGCCTGAGGGTGGTCACCCGGCCTCTGCTTGAATGCTCCCAGAGATGGGGAGCTCACGACCCACAGGAGCTGTCAAGTTTACTCTTCCCAGTATCTTGTTGTAGACCTGTTTCCAGGCTCACTTTGGGCTCACATCTCTCTGGCCCTGTGGCATAATTGTATCAAATAAAATATTCTCAAATACTTAGCAAGTAAGAAAGAGTAAGCAGCCCATTTGTTGAGAGTGTGTGGCTAAAGAAGAAAGGACAGGACTGAAATCAATTGCCCCGGCCACGTTCTGCCAGCCCTGGCTCCAGGTTTCTTGTCTGGGCTGCACATGTCCCTGGGTGGGGTGGGGTGTGATAGGCGTGGCTCTTCCCTGGCTCTGTCTTGGGAGCAGGGGAGTCCTTGCGTTCCCGCGCTGGGGAGATCTGAGGCAGAGGCCTTGGGGCCCGGGTTGTCACCGATTTGGGCATGTGCCGTGTGAGAGGCAGGCTGAGATCTGTGCGGGACTTTCCCTCCTCCTGCTCACCCAGAGGATGGGCCCCTGTTCTCATCAACTTTTCCTGCTTCAGCCTCAGTAAGATGGGCAGCTTAACTGCTGCGTTTTATTTAGGAAGATCACTTAAACAAATCAGAACATCCGCAGGCTACACTGTGCTCGCTGGATCTGTCTGCAGTGTGAGCCCGCGCCCGCTGGTTATCCGAATGCTGAGGTCAGGGAGGCCTCGTGGCTTTGCAGTGTTTGCTCTAACCTTGTGCAAGGGGCATGTTCCAGGTCCAGGCTGACGCTTTTGACCTTGACCTTCCCTCCCAAACCGCTTAGTTGAGACCATCACGAGCAGTTTCAGAAATGCCATGTTGTTGGAAAATTTCTTCTTTTAAAAATTTTTAATCGTGGTAAAATATGCTCGTAAAGTCACTGTTGTAACTACCCCGAGGTGCATGGTTCTCTGGTGTTCGGTACATTTGCATTGTTGTGCAACACCATCCATCTCCAGCTTGCAAAATGGAAACCCGATGTTCTTTAGACGAACTCCCGTCCACCCACCCCTTCCCCAGCTGCTGGCAGCCAGCGCTTGACTTTCTGCTTCTGACATTTATTTGTTTATTTGAAAGACAGAGCAATGGGGGGTCGGGGGAGAGATCTTCCATTTGCTGGCTCGTTCCCCAAATGGCCGAAACAGCCGGATCTGGGTCAGGCTGAAATCAGGACCCCCAAGCTCCATCGGGATCAACCACGTGGGTGGCAGGTGCCCAAGAACTTGGGCCAGCTACTGCTGCTGTCCCAGGTGCATTAGCAGGGAGCTAGATTGGAAGTGGAGTGGCCAGGACTTGAACTGGTGCTCTGATATGGGTTGTGGAAGCCCCAAACAATGGCATAACCCACTGTGCCAAGGTTCCCACCCCTCTGTGAGTGGAATCATATGGGTCTTGTCCCTTGGTGACTGCTTGTTTCACTTAGCATGAAGTCTTTAAGATTCATTCATGTGGGAGCCAGTGCTGTGGCGTAGCAGGTAAAGCCGCCACCTGCAGTGCCGGCATCCCTTATGGGCGCTAGTTCAATATCTGGCTGCTCCACTTCCGATCCAGCTCTCTGCTATGGCCCGGGAAAGCAGTAGATGATGGTCCAAGTCCTTGGGCCCTTGCACTTGTGTGGGAGACCCAGAAGAAGCTCCTGGTTCCTGGCTTTGGATTGACGCAGCTCCGGCTGTTTTGGCCATTTGGGGAGTGAACCAGCAGGTGGAAGATTCTCTCTTTCTCTCTGTCTCTGTCTCTCTCTCTCTCTCTGCCTCTCCTTCTCTCTGTGTAATTCTGACTCTCAAATAAATAAATAAATGAATCTTTTTTTTAAAAAAGAGATTCATTCATGTGGTAACTTGTCAGTTTCCTCCATTGTTAAGGCAGATGCTGTTCCACAACAGGGAAGAACCACTTTTTATTTACTCACACATCTGTTGCTAGACACTTGGGTTACTTCCACCTTTTTGTTTTTCAAAGAGATATTTCTTTTATTTGAAAGTCAGAGTTATAAGGCAAGAGGGAGAGAGAGGGAGAGACAGAAAGAGAGAGAGAGAGAGAGAGAGAGAGAGAGAGAGATCTTCATCTGCTGGTTCACTCTTCAGATAGCTGCAATGGCCAAGGCTGCACCAGGCCAAAGCCAGGAGCCAGGAGCTTCCCCCAGGTTTCCCACGTGGTTGCAGGGGCCCAAGCACTTGGGTCACCTTCTGCTGCTTTCCCAGGCCATTAGCAGGGAGCTGGATGGGAAATGGAGCAGCCGGGAAATGAGCCGGTGCCCACATGAGACGCCAGCATCACAGGCAGCAGCTTTACCCACTATGCCACAGCTTCCACCTTTTGGTTTTCATGAATAATGCCTCCACAGACACGGACACATGTCAGTCTGAGGCTCTGGTTTCAGTTCTGTGTTTATATGGTGAAGTAAAATTGCTCCCCCCATTACTCTGCCTATCAAATAAACAAATAGAAAAACAAAGTCAGAAGAAGAAAGTTGAATGCTGATTCTCAGTGGCTGGGGGAAGGGGTGGGTAGACCAGATGGTCGTCTTCAAAGACTGGAGAGTTTCTATTTTGCAAGATGGAGAGGGATGGTGTTGTGCAACAATGCAATGGTAATTCTTTTTTTAAAAAAAAAAGTATTTATTTTTATCTACGTGAAAGGCAGAGAGACAGAGGAGAGAGAGAGGTCTTCCATCTGCTAGTTCACTCCCCAAGTGCCCCCAACAGCCAGGACTGGGCCAGGCTGGAGCCAGGAGCCAGGAGCTCCATCTGTGTCTCCCACGTGAGCAGCAGGGGCCCAGGCCCTTGTGCTGTCACCTGCTGCCTCCCAGGATGCACTGGACTGGAAGTGGGACCCAACAGGCACTCCGTTAGCAGACGCCGCTGTCCCAGGCAGCGGCTGAGCCCCTGCCACAAGCCTCGTAGCACTGAAGGCAGTTCCAGTCTTCTGTTGTGGAGCAGCCACGTGCGTTCTCCGCAGCAGCTGCACCATTTACATTCCCACGCGAGTGCACGCAGCTCCCGGTCTCCGTGTCCTCGCCAACCCTTGCTGGTTCCCACGTTTCGGGTAACAGCCGCCTTCCGAGTAGAAAGTGTTGTCTCATGGTGGTTTGGGTTTGCATTTCCTTAGTGATCAGAGTTGCTGCCTGTGTCTCGTCCTGTGTCTTCTTTAGAGAAAGGTCTCTTCCAGTGCAAGGCTGTTTCTCACGTGAGCCCCGCTCGGCCTCGCTGGCCCTGCTCCCTCCGTCTCCTGGGGTAGCCGTGACGGATCTCCGGGTCTGCTCTCTTGGGATTCCTCTGGAGCCCCCAGGGGCTGGCAGCTGCTGGGGCCCCTCAATGCACGCTGCTGCGCGGGCTGGCTTGTGGGGTCCTCTCCTGTCTGGTCACCTGCCCCTGAATCTGGTCTTACTCGTGGACGCCCCTCTTATGAGTTGCTGGCAGCTTCCTGTCAGAGGGAGGCGGTGCAGCAGGCGCCATCAGGCCGGCCCTGGGTGTAGCCGCCAACTGGGGAATGGGGTTGCATGACATTGGTAAAGAGCCTCAATCTTTTCATCCGTAAAATGGGGATCCTATGAGCCATCTTGTCTGCACTGAGTGCAGTGAAAAAATACGCTTTAGCAATGACAAACTGTAGTCCAAATGTAAGGGGATTGGCAGTTATGTGCAGTACTGCTTGCTGGGGTGAGAGAGTGGGGCTGTGGGCATCCCAGAATCGCTGTCACGGGTGCCTCCTTGAACCCCCCTGAGTCAGAACCTGGAGGGGGAAGCTTTCCTGGTGACTTCAGTGTGTGCTGGGGGCCCAGCAGGGGGGCGGCCGTGTCATGTAGTGAGATGCTGTCTGCCAGGGAGCAGGCATTTCTACGTGCCATGGCCATTTAGAGACAGCAGGAAGAGCTTCCTGGAGGAGGCGACACCTGAGTCGTGTCTTGGAGGGTGTGTAGGAGTGTCCCAGGTGGAGAATTCCACCAGGTCTCCCGTGCGGGTTGCAGGCTCTCAGGTCCTTGAGTCATCACCCCTGCTTCCAGGGTCTGCATTAGCGACACGCGGGTATCGAGCTCAGTATTCCAGGATAGGATGAGGGTGTCTCAGCTGGTGACATATGCGCCAAGCAAATACTTACCCCTATGTATATATGTAAATTTTTTTATTACAGAAAGTATGTAGAAGGAAACTATAATGGGGGCCAGCATTGTGGTGCAGTGGGTTAAGTTGCCGCTCGCAAAGCTGGCATTCCATATCTGAGAGCTGGTTTGAGGCCCAGCTGCTCTGCTTCTGATCAGCCGCCTGCTGACGTGCCTGGGAAGGCAGCGGAAGATGGCCCCAGTATTTGGGATTTGGGGCCTGTCTCCCACATGTGAGACTGAAAGAGGTTCTGGGCTCCTGTTCAGCCTGGTCCAGCCCAGGCCGTTGAGGCCATTTAGGGACTGAGCCAGCAGGTGGAGGCTCTCTGTTTCCCCTCCCTCCTGCCCATCACTGTCACTTTCAAAATAAACAAATCTTAAAAAAAAAAAAAAAAAAAAAGAGAGAGAGAGAGGAAAATGGAGATGTTAATAGTGCTTATATCGGGTGAGGTGCATCCTTCCATTTTTCTCCTGTGTGTGAATGTGTGTTTGTTACTATACAATAAATAAGACTTAGAAATATTTCTTTAGAAACTTTGTCTCTGTTCTCCTCCTTGCCTTGCGTTTTTCATACAAAATGCCTTCAGTGGTTTTCTTCATTACCTTTTCAAAGCTGCATCATAGTTCTGATTGACACAGACAATTGGGCGTGTTTGTGGGCCCGGGGGATGCTCCACTGGGCAGACGGACACCTGGTGTGATGTCCGAGCTGCTTTTAGCAGCTCTCCCGTGATGTGGCTCCATCAGCATTTTTCAAAAAGATTTATTTATTTATTTATTTGAGTGGTAGAGTTACAGACAGAGAGATGGAGAGACAGAAGTCTTCCATTCGCTGGTTCACTCCCCAAATGGCCGCAATGGCCGGAGCTGAGCCGATCCAAAACCAGGAGCCAGGAGCTTCTTCCAGGTCTCCCAAGTGGGTGCAGGGGCCCAAGGACTTGGGCCACCCTCTACTGCTTTCTCAGGCCATAGCAGAGAGCTGGATCGGAAGAGGAGCAGCCAGGACTAGAACCAGTGCCCATATGGGATGCTGGCACCGCAGGCAGCAGCTTTACCCGCCACCCAGCACTGGCCCCTTGATCATCGTCTGTGTGTCTGGTTCCTCGTGGCTGGTGGCTGGGTATTTCCAGCTTTGAGGAACTTTTTCTGCTCCTCAAGCCCATCAGACAGGACTCACAGCTCACGGGCCCTGAATAATGACCTCTCCTTCTGTCCACAGAGCCCGAGAGCCCTCCGGCCTCGTCCCCCGCCACGCAGGTGAGTCCACGTTCTTAGAGAAGGGTGGGGGCAGCAGTGCCCAGTGGTTAGGCATGTAGGCCGGCACCTGCCAGAATCTGGTTGAAGTCCCAGCTCCGCCACTTAGTAGAAATGTGGCCATGGCGAGTGACCTGTCCTTTCCCAGCCCCTGGAGAAGGGGGAGCTGTTCGGCCATGCTGGGGCCCGGTCCACGGAGGTCCCCTGGGTCTAATGGCTACTGTTTTGCCTCTGAGCTTTTTGGGCACTACTGGTAGCTTGGCCTGAGTCCCTCCCCCGGGGACTCCTGCTGTCACAATGTGCTGGAAAGAGGATTTCCTGAAGCTGCTTCATTCCTTGAGTAATCCAGTTTCCCATCCGTCTATATCTCCTCCCCGGTCCTTGATTCCCTAAGCCTGGGGCTCAGCCACTCTGGGAGCGGCACTGCCCGGGAACTGGATCCCTGCTGGATGCAGTTCTGTCCCAGCGCCTGCGGGAGAGGGCCTGGTGCAGTTCTAGGAATGACACTGGCTGAGCACTGGCCACGCTCTGCTATACTCTGAGTCTTGCATCTTGTTTGATCCCTGTGCTAATCCTACAGGGAGGCCATGTGCATTCCAAAATCCACCCGAGGGCCCGCAAGTAGTAGGGATGGAGCCAAGATCCCAGCCCATGCTTTTGCCAGTAAGCTGCGTGACCTGGCCCCACACCCGTGTCGATGGGGGTGTTTCCTCTGAGGTGTGTCTTTTAACTTTGGTGGAGAAGCTGGGAAGAAGTCCTTGAGTTAAGCTGCCAAGGCGTGGCTACAAATAACCCAGATAACAGTGAGAAAGATAGAGATAGACGCCCCTGGTGTGTGTAAAGGGCTCTCCGAGGACGTGACGGCTGCGTCAGCTGTGACTGATGGTGCGACTATCTTTCAGGCCTCCACTGCTACTGACGGCAGCTCTGCTCCCTCCAGAGGTTCTATAAACACAACCAGCCTCCCAGGTAAGGAGCGGGTCTTTCTGCATTCCTCTGGGGCAGAGTTTCTCTGCAAAAAGTCCTTTGTCATCTGGACAGGTTAGCATGGCACCAATGGCCGAAGTCTCTCTTCCATCTGCTGGTCCATTCCCTAAATGGCCGCTACGGCTGGCACGCTGCACCGATCTGAAGCCAGGAGCCAGGGGCTTCCTCCTGGTCTCCCACGTGGGTACAGGGGCCCAAGGCTTTGGGCCGTCTTCTACTGCTTTCCCAGGTGATAGCTGAGAGCTGGATTGAAAGTGGAGCAGCCGGGACTCGAGCTGGTGCCCACATGTCGGCACTGCAAGTGGCGCCTTACCCACTATGCCACAGCGCTGGCCCCTCTCTTACCCTTCTCGGCTCAAGTTGGATGCTGTGAGCTAAGATCTGGTGAGGGGCCACAAGCCCTTGGCTATAGGGGTCTTTGATTTCAGTGTTCCTGGTTTCCTGTACCTGCAGGACCAGGTAAACTCGCACACACTTGTGTCCAGAGCAATCACTGGTGCTGTGTTTGTTTCACCAGACGGGAGTGTCACACCCCTGGAGGTGTGACAGCCGAGCAGCACTGTCTGAGAAGGCCTCGGCCTCATTACGTTCACCCGGGCAGGTTCCTGCAGGCACCTGCTGCCGGCTGCCCCACCCCCACCCCCACCCCCACCCCCACCCCGCTGCACCATCCAGCTGCAGTGCACCCACAGTTAGACACCTGGGGCTGAGGACTCACTGGGAATTAAAGCCGCCCTTGTTCTCAGGGACTCTACTCTCTGTGATCAGGCTGCATGGAAGAGCTGTCATGGGAGCCCAGCATGAGACCGGCAGGGAGGGAGGCCTGGTGGAATTTATTGTTGAGAGAGCTGGGGACTCTCAGCAGGCGCTGGCCACGCCTACCATTGATCTCATCCAAGAATGGGCTGATGACTCCTGCGTTTCAGCTCCGACCCAGACAACTCTGCTGGGGTGGCAGGGCCCCCTGGGGACCTAGGAACCCAACTCAAAGTGCCTAAAGGAAATGCTTGGTGTCCCCCCGCCCCCCACCTCTCCTGCCCAGACCCGGTCTTCCCCGTCTGCTCCGTCTTGGGAGCCGGCACCACCTGGCAGGGCTGCTCACATGCCGGGGATCAGGGACCCTGCCTCCTCCACCTCTCATCCCCCGGTGGTGTCTCGCTGGGACCTGTCAGCGGCACCCTGAGGCACACCCAGAAGCTGACCCCTTCTCCCCACCACCAGGGCCGACAGCTGCTCGAGTCACGGCCATCTCATCCAGCGAGGCTTCAGGAGCCGCCACCTCCTTGTCCTAACCCAGACTTTTCCAACCAGCACCCAGAGTGGCCCTTAAAACACAACCGGAGCCCTCCCTGGCTCACCACGGGCTCTCCCAGAGCAAACCAGCAGAGTGCACGTCTAGGGGAGCTGTAACAGCTACATCATCTCCTAGCTGTAGACCTCGTCTCCTCCACCGTTCCTCTCGCTCTGCTCCCGCCAGGCTTCCTCCTTGCTCTTCTCCACACGTTGTGTCCCAGGGCCTTTGCACTTGCTGCTTGCTCCTCCTGGGTCAGCTCCTTCCCACCACCGGGGTCTCTGCTCAGATTCCTCCTCCTCAGGGAGCCCTTTGCTGGCCCGGGGGGGCTCACAGAGCCCCCTCCCCGGAGCTCTCTCCTTTCCCCGTGCTTTGCTTTGCTTCATTGCCCCTGTCATGCTGACATCACAGTGCATCTCCTCCATTGGAATGGAAGATCCGGAGGGAAGGACATTCGGTCATGCTCTTCTCTGTACCTCTGAGGCTTGGAGCAAAGCCCGGCGCCCAGCAGGCACTCGATGAGGGTCTGCTGAATGAAGGAAGGAAAAAGCCGTAAAAGCTGACAAAATTCTAATAAGCGAGTGAGCCAAGCACCCAGCTTGTCCCTGTGGGGGTGGGTGCGTAGTCGGAGGAGCCAGCCCCGACTCCGGTGGGCATCGAAGCAGTGACTGGTTTGCGTCTGGGCTGGAGGAGCCTGGAGCCTGGGCAGCTGTGACTCTGGCATTCCCAGCGGAAGGGGAGAGCAAAGGCTTGGCTTGGAGGAACCCGCTGTCCAGTGCAGGGTCTCTGGCTGTGGTGGGCAGGCCTGGCTGTTTGTGTCGCTGGGTTGTTCTTTTGTCCATCCAGTGAGCTGTTTTGGAGACACTGCCCTGTGCCGGGTGCCTTGAGAGCCCCTGGGAGGGCCACAGTGAAATCCACGCGTGTGGATTTGAGGGAGCTCACTCCAGTGATGCAGCTGGAGGAGTGACCAGGGAGGCCATCACTGGCTCCCGGGGTATGGGTGGGGACCTCGCTTCTCAAAGGAAGTGACCTTGGCTCATCTGAGACTGGGGGGAATAAAGGGGGCTGCCAAGGCTGGGAGGGAGAGAGCATTCCGGGGTCGGAGTGTGGAGAGCCTAGCGGGAGGGAGTGTGGCACCTGGGGTTCCTGGATGAGCTTCATGTGGGTGGGCCTGGGCGCCACGCGGTGGGGGCAGACAGGAGAGGACGCCCAGGGGACAGCTGCGCTCGGGTTCCTGGTGATTGCGTCGGAGCCTCTTTGATGTCATCTTCAAGGGAGCTGCCATTGAAGAGGTCCCCGAAGCCTTCGGTGTCTTTTTATTATTTATTTATTTTTGACAGGCAGAGCGGACAGTGAGAGAGACAGAGAGAAAGGTCTTCCTTGGCTGTTGGTTCACCCTCCAATGGCCGCCGCGGCCAGCGCACTGTGCCTATCCAAAGGCAGGAGCCAGGTGCTTCTCCTGGTCTCCCATGGGGTGCAGGGCCCAAGTACTTGGGCCATCCTCCACTGCACTCCCTGGCCATAGCAGAGAGCTGGCCTGGAAGAGGGGCAACCGGGACTAGAACCTGTGTGCCGGCGCCGCAAGGTAGAGGATTTGCCTAGTGAGCCGCGGCGCTGGCCATCCTTCGGTGTCTTGAGTGCCCTCTGTGCTTCGTAAGGACAGACAGAATGCCACCAGAAAGGCCCCCAGAAAGTGAGGGGGCAGCCCGAGTCTGGCCAAGGGGCCCAGCACCTCTGGGAGGTGGAGTCCTGGGGTCCACCTGCTCATGCCAGCGGCTCTCCTGGAGTTGGCTTTGGCCAGAAAGCCGGCAGCCCTGCCCAGTGCTAGTCAGCGGAACCGCCTCCTTCTCCAGGTGGGGGTCCTGTGGGGCTTGTAGTTTTTATAACGATTTATGCATTTATTGATTTATTTGAAAAGCAGAGTATCAGACACACACACACATGCACTTAGAACTGTCCATCCACTGGTTCACTCCCCAAATATCTGCAACAGCCAGTCTGGGCCAGCCAAAACCAGGAGCCAGGAGTTTCATCTGGGTCTCGCACGTGGGTGTAGGGGTCCAAGCACCGGGGGCATCTTCTGCTGCTTCCCAGGCCATTAGCCGAGCTGAATCCGGGGCGGAGCGGCAGGCGCGGAGCCAGCTCTGACGTGGGGCGCCGGCGTCACCAGCAGCTGCTTAGCCTGCTGTGGCTCAGCACTTGCTCCTCTCTGGGCCTTTGATGGCACCTGCTGAGTGGTTTTCTTCTGCTTTTTCTACCCCTTTTTCTCCTCCTGCTCATTCTTCTTTTTCCCTCTCAGAAGATGATTCCTCCCCAGTCCCGCTGTCCACGTTCCTGGTGACTGGAGGGAGCCTGGCGTTCGGGGCGCTGCTCGGCGCTGGCGTTGTCCTGAGGTGAGTTGGGTCCCGGGAATGGCCAGTGGGGTCTTCCGGCCTCCTGCTGAGCTTCGCTTCGCCACGGAGTCGCCAGAGATGCACAGAGCGACCATTTGTCTGCTCATACGCTCATCAACAAAGGAGCCCAGGCACACATGCACGGCACCCAGTGTTGGGCCATAGTGCCATGCGGGTGCTGCGGGAGGCAACAGTGGACAGGATAGATGCTGTCTTATGATGAGGAAGTTGGGCCCTGAGGGGTGACGACTTGTGTGTCGAGAACCAGAGGAAGAGGAGCCCAGTATGTCCTATGGTTGAGAGGGTTTGTGCATGCCTGTGTGTGTGTGCATATGTGTATATGTGTGTGCATGTGTGTATGCATAAGTGTGGGTGTAGCAGTACCGGGGAGGCCTGGAAAGGGAGGTAAAGGCCTCTGGGCCTGTCTCGAGGGCAGAGAATGGCCGTTGCAGGGTTCTGAGGAGGCCTTGCCCAGCTCTGCCATCTTCCCAGATCATTCTCTGCGGTTCTGAGGCTGCATGTTACAGGGGACGTAAAATACAGGGGACGCCGGGAGCCCCCGTGTCTGGGCCAGAGATGACAGGAGCCTGTGCTAGGATGGTAGCGGAGGCATGGGGAACCAGGAGTAGACTCAAGGCTGACCAGAGGTAGAACTGGCTGGGTTTGGTGGCGAAGTGGAGGAGGAGGAAGAAGGAGAGGAGGAATCGGGGTCCTGGCCTCAGCAGCAAGGCCGGGATGGGCAGCCGAAGGGACAAATCCGAGGGGCGCTGGCATGTAGGGGGAGGGCCTATGACGGGACCCCAGGGGAAGCCAGCGGTGGGAAGCTGTGCGGGGGAGGTGGGAGAGTGGTGCTGTGAGGACACCACGAGGATGGCCGTGCTCTCTTCCACGGGCCACACTGCCTGAGAAGCAGTGCACGGAGAGCACGCACACACTCAGATCTGGGTGCCTGCCATGCAAGATGTCCCTAAGAATGTCCACCTAGAGATCCCAGCAGACCCGCGGGGGGCGCCCGTCCCCATGCTGCCTGCAGCCGTGGTTCACGGTGGCCGGGGTCCCTGTGTTCCTGGGCTTGCTGTCTCCAGAAGGGCCAGCCTCTAGTGAAGTCGAGTGGCCAGGAAATACTGCAGATCCCCAGAGGTCCCGTTTCCCTGCAGGAACTGAAAGTTTGCATAAGCTGAAGCCCTGGAAGCAGCCAGGCGGGGCCTCGGGCAGAGTGAACTGTAAGGAGACAGGAGGGGAAGCCACGCCCCTTCCTTCCCTTCTCTCACCTGCCTGCTGCTCGGTCTTTGAGGGTGTTTGGGAGGGAGGAGTAGGAACTGGGCAGGGAGCTCTCCTACTCCCAAGGGTGGTCTGGGGTTGGAGGATTAGCAAGAGGGCCAGGCCGCTTGTGTTCAGGGCTGTTCTGGCTTTGATATTTCAATGAAGTGGTCCACACCCAGGGGTGTGCAGGAGGTGGGGAGGGGGGTCCTGGGAGGGAGTGAAGCCTTTTCTACCCTCAGGCCAATGAAGGGTGGGGGGCTTGTCCACACTGGGGGGATTCCTGGCCTCAAGGCAGGCAGGTGCCCCCGCCTACTGCTTCTGGCTCTACATGACCAGGGCCCCCAAACAGGCCTTTCCGTAAGCTGCCACAGACCTTGCGCAGCGGAGAGTGTGATTTAGTAAAGAGAAAGAGGTGGAGTTTTACAGCCAGGAAGGCCAAGGCCAAGACTCAAACCCACAGGTCGCACTCTTTGGGTGGGGCCTCAGGCGTCATCTTCTTTAGTTTTGCAAACGAGGAAGCAGCTCCAAAAGGTAAAATGACTTGCTCAAGGACTGGCAAGAGCCTGGCCTAGGGCGTCCACTGGAGGCCGGTGCAGCTGCTGGCGCCCTCTTGGTGTCTGTTAATCACTAACAAAAGCATTAGGTAGGCGGCAGATCTAGTTTGCTGTTCTGCGGATGATGCCTGAACGCTGCTGGTTGCTAAACAACCAGAGTCCCTGTAGGCACAGGCAGGGCAGTGCTCCGGGCTGAGAACAGCCAGCAATTTATTTCCTAGCCTGCTGAGTTTCCATTTGCTTCCATATAAGCCAAATGCATTTGGAAAGAGGCCAGTCATTTCGAGTGGTGAAAAACTTCTCTATTCCCCAAATCCCTTCTGTCGAGAAGAGGGGATGAAGTCAGAGAGACTGTGGGAATCTGAGGGTGCCAAGACAGCCGAGCCGCCCAGCCACTGGGATGGTCACAGTTACACAGGCAGAACGGGAGATGCACGGCCATGTTCGTCCTGGCGGCCCTGGTACCTGGTCCCTAAGCATAGTACTTTCCTAAATATGTTTCCAGCAATATTGGTGATAATTTTACAATTTTTTATCTGTTTTTAAAAGAGTATTCTTTAAAAAAAAATTTCAAATTTATTTATCCTATTTGAAAGGAAGAATAGAAAGAGAGAGAGAGAGAGAGAGAGATCATCCACTGATTCACTTATTTGAGAGGCAGGGTTACAGACAGAGAGAGAGACAGAGAGGAAGGTCTTCCATCCACTGGTTCACTCCCCAAATGGCTGCAATGGCTGGAGCTGAGCAGACCAGGAGCCAGGAGCTTCTTCCTGGTCTCCCGTGTGGGTGCAGGGCCCAAGCACTTGGGTCATCCTCCAGTGCTTTTCCAGGCCATTAGCAGAGAGCTGGATCAGAAGAGGAGCATCCAGGACACAAAAGAGCATCCAAATGGGAGGCTGGCACTGCAGTCGGAGGCTTAGCACAATGTTTGCCCCTGAATCCTCCCTTTTAAATTTAGCATTAGAACATACTAGTTTTCCACAATACGTAAACACCACTTTCATCAGCTATAGACTTCTCTGTTCCGTAGAGTTTACCCAAGTTCACTTAACCAACGTCTCACCACGAAGCATTTGGGCATTGTTTCGCTTTTATAAACAACCCTGTGTTGAACATCTTTTGCCTAAAGTTTTTTTCCCCATAGCTGTGTAGTTTCTTTAGAGTGTATTTCCGGGGGTGGGGTTCCTGGACCAGGGAGTCTGATTATTTTGCCACCCAGAGTACAATGGGCACTTTCACCAGGGAGAACTGCATCCAGTCAAGGACGCCGCGGAGCTGCAGTAAGCACCCCTGCTGGGCCCTCTTCCTAGTGGCCAAGTCCTTAGTAATGTTCTACAGATTGTTTATTGCATTTGGAGAGCAGGCCAAGAGCCAATGGCAGATTTGGAGCCAGCTATCAATTATGGATCATAACAAGGACAGGAATAGCCTGCCGATATAAAAAAGACATCCAAGGAAAGTCCCCCAGTCTTGTTTTTGACATCGGCTTCCCCTCGTGCCTCACGGCCCTTCCCGGAGTCACTGACCGGTGAGGGAAGCGAGAGGAGCACCTTTCTCCTGCTGTCGGGGGAGCAGGTGGGGGAGGCGAGGCCCGGGCCCCTCGGGAAGGCGCTGTGGCTGTACCTTTGAAGATTGGTATCATCTCATGATCTCGCCTTCCTTTCAGCTGTCAAGTGACTTCTCAGTTACCGAGTGCTGGCTTTGGGCCCAGCCCGATCAGAGAGATGTCTATCTCTTTCCTGTTTAACGTGGGCTTTCCTGTCAGATGAGTCAGCCCGTGTCCGAGGGTGCCCCCGGCTGGGCCTGTGAGCACTGACCGTGTGCAGGCAGTGGATGCAGGGGTGTGGGCAGGATGGGCACAGGAGGGCTGCGGGGAGGCCATCACAAATCACAGGCAGCGCCTTTTTTTTATTATTATTATTTGAAAGGCAGAGTGACAGAGAGACAGAGCAAGCTCCTCCATCCACTGGTTCACTCCTCCATCCACTGGTTCACTCCTCCATCTACTGGTTCACTCCCCAGAAGGCTGCAACAGCCAGGGCTGGGCCAGGAGGCTGGAACTCCACTGGTCTCCCACATGGGTGCAGCGGTCCAAGCACTCGGGCCCTACTTTCCCAGGTGCATTAGCAGGGAGCTGGATCAGAAGTGGAGCAGGCGGGATGCAGGCTGGCTCTCCTATATGGGATGCCGGGGTCACAGGCAGGGGCTTCACCTGCTAAGCCACAACGCTGCACCCCCACTTTTAAGCAAATGAACTTGGGGCTGATGTTGTGTCCCTGGTGAGCACCTCTGGAACAGGCCAAGTCAAGGACCTGTCATGTTACTTTGGGGTTCCATAAAGGGATACTCACAGCCTGGGTGTGCCTCAGTTTCCCCATTTGTAAGTTAGACCAACTGCACACGCCTGTTTTCTTGGGGGTATTTTTGAGGCACCACCTCTTCAGTGCATCCCTGGTGACAGCAGCTGATGGGGTAACCAGTTGTCACCCCTTGGGTCCCAAGCCTGGAGCGCCAGGCCCCTGGGGCCGCCAGTCGGGGCACTAACCATCCTCATGGTTTGTCTTCTTGTGTCTGTGTTGAAGGTTCAGGAAGATGTGGAAGCTGCGAGCTCTGAAGGAAGGCAAGGCGGGGGTGCACCCGCCCTACGCGCTGGGCCAGCTTGTTCCCGAGAGGCCCAGGCCCATCACCGTGCTGGTGCCCCTCATCTCCCCACCCGTGTCCCCCAGCAGCCTCGGCTCTGACAACGCCCCGGGTCCCAGCCACCCAGACGCCGGCTGCCCGCGGAGCCCTTATGATGTCAGCAACAAAGAATACTTCTTCCCCAGATAGCTGTGGGGGGTGCCCGAGGTGATGGAGCACAGCCCCTGCCCCCCTGGCCTGCTGTCCAACCCGTCCGGCCCGTCCGGCCCGTCTGGCCCGTCTCAGGGGCTCCACATTACAGAGTTGCCTGCCCAAGGCGCTGCACTGGCGAGCATCCACTTACCACATCTGCTGAGCAGGAAGAGCTGGCGGAGTTTGCACGCCATCTTTTCCAAACGCCTTGCTGCACGGTGAGGGGCTGGGGCGAGCTCGGGCCACGCTGGAGACAGCCTGTCTTGGACACTGGGCAGGGAGGGGCTGTCCCCCACCCCCGGCGCCCAGCACATCTCTGCTGTTGGACTAACGGAGATGGACCTGTGGCCAGAGTTCCCTCTCTCAGCCTCGGGGCTCCCGGCTCAAGTTCTTGAAGCCCACAAACCTTTGCGGTGCAAGGACAGCTTTTCCTTAGGCCTCCCCAACTGGGAGAAGACCTTCTCTCCGCTCTTTCTCCCCTGCACTTGACAAACAGCGGGCAGGGGCGTGGGGGTGGCCAGAACTATCTCAGGGCCTCCTGCTTTTTAAAGGGAAAGACAGAGTTTCTGCTCAATGTGAAAGATAATCCCAGGCATTTTCGGGAGACAGAAGCAGCTGCCTGAGTTTGATCTCCCTCAGGATCTCAGGACTTTGGGGTCACCACGGTCCCCTGTGGCAGCCGAGGCCACAGCAGCCTCAGGAAAGCCCTGTTCTCAGTCCACTGCCCCCGGAAGGAGAGTGGGCCCAGGGCGGGCTCCGTCCAGGGCTGGGCAGAGCTGTGCTTCCTGCAGCTTCCTGCGTCTGGTGGGGAAGGCAGTGTTCACGGGAAAGCAAAATGTATTTCGGCAAGAATGTATTCTACTGTGCTTTTTCAAAAACTGCTGCTGATTTCCTCCGGCTGGGTCGCAGACCCAGGACCAGCCGAGGGTGCGCAGGCACGTGGCGAGGGGGGAAATCGCCCTCCGTTCGTGAGCACAGAGCCGAGGCAGGCGAGGAGGGAGGAAGAACATTCTCCCTTCTCTGAGAAAGGTCTGGTTTCCTCCTGCAGTCTGTGTTTGTCTTACAGAGTGAAAAACTGCCAGCTTCGAAGGGTGCTTGTGACAGCTCCCCGGGGCGGCCACCCAGGGGCCGGGGCCTGGCACAGGCCTCCCACGCTCCACAGGCAGGGCCCCAGGAACTCCCCACCCCCGCACGGGGCACGCGGGAGGGCCATTAAGAAAGCCCCTTCCTGTGGTGCCTTCCTCTTTGTTATCTGGCTCCTTGGGTTAGCTTCGGCCCAGATCGTCCTGGGGCAGGGACTGTCCGCTGGGCTGCCGCTTCATCCGGGCTCTGGGAGTGCCGCCGCGGTGGGGGCTGCCCACGCCGGGGAGCTGTGATTCACAGGAGCCGTGACAGCCCGGGCCCCAAGTTTAGCAGACCACCAGAGTTTCCCAGCAGTTGAAAAACAGCCCCCATGGCCAGACAGGTGGCTGTGCTCCTATTGCTGTGTGCCAGGCTCCGTGATTTCCATCGTCGGCGTGGTCTTTCCGTTTTAGACCCCGGTGCTGCCGTGGGCAATACAAGCAGGGCAGGTGTTTATGGGGGGGGGGTTTATTTGTTTTGGGGAGTTTATTCGCCCCTTCAGAGCTTCTGGGGCCCGAGAACAACCAAGCGTGCTGTGAAAGGGAAATAGTACGCGGTGCAGTCCCAGGAGGGCTCTTCAGTTCTCCACCCCGTTTTACCCACGTGTGGTGTTTGGGAGCTGGGGAAGATGTGAAACGCAGATAGCTCGCTCTCTGAGAGCCAGGCAGCTCCCTCTCCAGGTTGCTATCGCTTTCATTATTATTGTTAACGAAACTGCTTGCTTTTTTTTTTTTCTCTCTCTTGTTTTGAAGAGGGTTTTTTCCCCTTTATTTTTCATAAGCTAGTGTCAATGAAGGAAGAGCAGTTGTTTTCTCTGGGCTGCGGCTCTTGCTCAGCGCACACAGGAAGACACCAGCAGCTTTCTCCATCCTCAGTTCCTGGCATGGCCGAATGTACGTGGCCATCTGGGGCTCACTCGGACCTGTCCGTACAGCACCCGGAGCACAGCTGCCTCTCACCTGACGCCCAGAGCCCTCAGCCACGTGGCCAGGTGCAAAATGCTGAGCCAGAGACCCTGTGGGTCAGCGGTGGGGATCGTCTGGCCGAATCACTTGGTCTGGCCCTGCCAGGGACACCGCAGGCGGGACTTGAAACTCAGTACCTGCACGGCAGCTTCATTTTTATGTCGATCATTTTGTGTGGCCCACAGCTGCTGTTATCAATAGCCAATGGCCCTTGGAAGAAAAAAGGTTCCCCTTTTTGTGGCTCCTGTTAGAAAAGGCAACAACTTACTCTGACTCGAGGTCTCAGTGACAGGGAGCATTAATTCTGGTAGCATTAATGCAAGGTTGAAATCAGATTTCCAGGGGAGGGCTCTGCTGTGGTGGAGCCTTGCCGGTGCGCTGTGTTGGCCATGCTCTGAGCTCACTCAGTCCTGCTGTCTGGAGAAAGCAAACGGGCAGACAAGGCATGGGACCGCTGCTGGAGCTGGGTTGGGTGTCCCCCCCTGGTGGTGAGCAGGCAGGAAGCAGCCACCACGTGTGCATCTCCCAAAGGATGCTCAGGGCCAGCCTGTGTGGCCACTTTGGTACTAACCTGTAGCATCTCACTGCCGGCCTTAAGGCTGACGCCCAGCTCTGGGTCTGTCTGAATGTGCAGAAGGAGGGGCAACCCATGATGCTCCGGGGCAGAAGCCCCACACCCAGCTTTTCATGTAGCAGCTGGCAATAGGGCTGCCGATGGCAGGGCAAGCCAGCAGACTCAGGGGCCGAGCCTGCCACCCACTCCCGAGTGGCCCCGCCGTGTGTGTGTGTGTGTGTGTGTGTGTGTGTGCCTGCCTTCCATGTGGCGGGGCGCCAAGTCCAGGAAGTTTCTATGGCAATGTAACGGTTACTGAAGAACATGGCCAGGTTTAAGACCATATACTCAGACGGAGATGTGCTTGAGAAGCAATGGAGTGTGTCACAAAGCTGTTAGTGGAGAGAGAGCGTGCGCTCGCCTGTTCAATGGAATACCTCAACTCTGCCTTGTCTTTTGGAGAGAAATAATAGTTTTAAGAGTTTTTTTTTTTTTTAACCTAATTACCTGAAAGCAAATACCAAAGACGGATGTCTGTTTGGGGTGAAGGGTCAATATATAGTTTTCTTATTTTTTTATCAACTATTTTGCATTTAAAGTGAAAGCTGTCTATGTTAGAAATAAACACTTTCTAAAAATACTGCTCAGAAGTCACTTCCCTTGGGCGTCGGGGTCATGTGCAGGAGAGGCCCGCAGGACGACAGGGGTGGGGTGGGGAAGGCTGGGTGACAGGCGCCGGTCGGTCGTGGGGGTTGGGGGACGCTCGCTCAGCGCAACATGGAGGGACCCCTGGAAGAAAGCAGAGCCCTTCGACAGAGCAGCGGTTTCTCCGTGATAAGCGTCGCCCAGAGCGAGTCCCGTCCTGGGTTTCTGGAAGGGGCGTGTGTGCCCCTGTGTGCTCACGGCGCCCTGACCAGAAGGCGGGAGGAAAAGGCGGGAGGAAAAGCCGGGGGCCCAGCCGCCCACATCTTCCAGGCAGAGGGGCCGGCGGCGACGGGAGTTCAGGGCTGCGGAGGAGGAAGCCCACAGATTGCGGAACTCAGACCGAAAGGCAGAGCGTGAGAGGCTCCGCCGGCGCCGCCTGCAGGACGCCTCGCTCCTCCCTGGCAGAGGCGGCACCGCTATTCCCCCGGGCACGGCGGCCGGCGAGGCTGCGTGGGACTGGGAGGGAGGAGCCGGGAAGGGCAAGGGGCTGCTCCCTTGCTGCGCGTGGCGACGCTGCGGGGAGCAGGTGGGGACTCAGGGGAACTGGAAGGAAGACTCCATCACTGGCACGCCCCCCCCCCCTAAAATATTTTATTTACTTGAAAGGCAGGAGTTACAAAGAGAGAGTTCTGCCATCTGCTGGTTCATGCCCCAAATGGCCCCAAGAGCTAGGGCTGGGCCAGGTTGAAGCCAGGAGCTTCTTCCGGGTCGCCCCCGTGGGTGCAGGGCCCAAGCACTTGGGGCATCTTCCCCTGCTTTCCCAGGTGCATTAGCAGGGAGCTGGATCAGAAGGGGAGCAGTCAGAACTTGAACCTTGGGATGGCAGCGCCGCAGACCCTGGTTTAACCTGCTACGCCGCAGCACCAGCCCCGACCCTGGAGCCACAAAGGAAGTAGACCTGTCCCTGCTAGGCCCAGGCAGGGCAGGAGGCAGCGGCTGCACCCATCAATGGCAGGGGTGTGTGGATGCGGGGCCTTGAACCCTTCCAGGGCAGGCTGCTGCGAGCCAGCGCCAAGCGCCTATTGCTTGGAAAATAGCAGGTAGGACAGTGACGGCGAGCCCCTCTTTCTTCAAACCAACCCCTGGCTTCTTAAGAAAGTCCCTGTGGCTGCCATATGTGTGTCACTTAAAAAAAGAAACGAAACCCCACTGCCTCAGCCTTGTCCTATTTGATTCTGAAACTTGAGTAAGACGAGCTTTTTCGGTAAAAGCAGGAAAACAGCATACAGGTGTGTGCAATCCTCAGTTAAGGGTGTTCCTTCTTTTTTTTTTTTATGTGTTTTGCCTCGACAGGCAGAGTGGACAGTGAGAGAGAGAGACAAAGGTCTTCCTTTGCCGTTGGTTTACCCTCCAATGGCTGCCGCGGCCGGCGCGCTGCGGCCGGCGCACCGCGCTGATCCGATGGCAGGAGCCAGGAGCCAGGTGCTTTTCCTGGTCTCCCATGGGGTGCAGGGCCCAAGCACCTGGGCCATCCTCCACTGCACTCCCTGGCCACAGCAGAGGGCTGGCCTGGAAGAGGGGCAACCGGGACAGAATCCGGCACCCCGACCGGGACTAGAACCCGGTGTGCCGGCGCCGCTAGGCGGAGGATTAGCCTAGTGAGCCGCGGCGCCGGCTGGGTGTTCCTTCTAAGAGAACTTCAGATCGCTTAAAAGGCTGCCCACATCCCCAAAACAAATAGTTAGCAGTCGGGGCAGGTGTTCAGCCTGGCGGCTAAGACACCACATCCCGTGTCAGGGTGTCTGGGGCTCAGCCCACTCCCCCCTGGAGTGGTACCGCATTCCTGCTAATGCTCACTCTGGAGAGCAGCCGGTGTGGCTCAAGGACTTGGGTCTCTGCCACCCACGTGGGAGACCTGATTGAGTTCCAGCTCCCAGCTTCAATCTGGCCCAGTCCCAGCCCTTGTAGGCATTTGGGGGAATGAACCAGCAGATGGAAACTCTTTCTTTCTCTAATAAATAAATATTAAAAGAAAATAGTGGGGCCGGTGCTATGGCTCAGCAGGTTAAAGCCCTGGCCTGAAGCGCTGGCATCCCATATGGGAGCTGGTTTGAGAGCCAGCTGCTCCACTTCCCATCCAGCTCTCTGCTCTGGCCTGGGAAAGCAGTAGAAGATGACCCAAGTCCTTGGGCCCCTGCACCCGCGTGAGAGACCTGGAGGAAGCTCCTGGCATCGGATTGCCACAGTTCCGGCCATTGCAACCAATTGGGGAGTGAACCATTGGATAGAAGACCTCTCTCTCTCTCTGCCTCTCTTCTCTTTGTGTAACTCTGACTTTTGAATAAATAAATAAATCTTTTAAAAAATACCTTGCTGGGCAATGGGAAGCTGCATTTTGATATTTCATTATGATTTTATAAAGAATGAAAAAAATGTCTAAAAGATTTATTTATTTGAAAGGCAGCGTGATGGGGGTGGGGGTCCTCCATCCATTAGTTCACTTCCCAAATGGGCCAGGTTGAAGCCAGGAGGCAGGAAATCCATCCAGGTCCCCTAGGTGGGTAGCAGGGGCCCGTGTACTTGGGTGGTTGGTCATCCAGCTGCATTCCCAGGCGCATTATCAGGAAGCTGGATCAGTTCAGAGCAGCTGGGACTGGAATGGGCACCCTTCGGGGATGTCAGCATCTCAGACAAAGGCTTAACCCTCCCCGCCACAGCGCAGTCTCCCAAAGAATGAAATTCATCAGAAGGGCAACTGTATCCTATTTTGGTTTCTGAATTTCTGCGCTGCTCAGTGAGAACGAGATGATGAAGTCCCGCGGGAGCCAGGAGCCGGCAACAGGGGAAGGGGACGAGCCTCGGCCGGTGGGCGCGGTCCTCAGAGCTGGCCCTGCTGTGCATGGGGTCGCCACAGCCAGGCGTTGGAGTCCTGGCTCCCCGCTCAGGGATTCCAGCCCTGTAGGTTTGATGAGAGCCCCCGAAATCTCAATGTGACCTGCAGGAGTTTCTGACACCAGTGGTGATGAACCCTAACTGTCGCCGTGAGGTGGGGTTTCACGCTTCAGAGCGTGGTGTGCCTCCGTGGGTCACGTCCATGGGCGCGGCCAGCCTCAGGAGGGGGTCAGACCCTCAGTCCCACAACTGTAAGCTCCACAGGTCACTGTGCCGTGTGGGGACCACAGGCAGGAGGCCACCGTGGGCACTGGTCAGCAAAGGGGTACTGACGTAAGCCCCGCTCCGGTTCCTTAGGCGTCCACAGACCCTTTCGGTAGAGAGGGTCTTTTGAACTGAGCCGCACTGGTGGCTAGCACCTGCTGGTCCCCTGCCACCTGCCGCATGGGCGGGATTTCCCTCACCCTAATGACGCTGCGAGGAAAGCATTTCCGCCTGGCGATGGCCGACGTGACTGCTGCACGTGCAGGTGAGGCTTCGATGATGTGTGAGTGACTGGAGAGGCTGGGCGGGACCCCACACCTGCATCTCCAGGCCCCAGGGCCCAGCCCCCTTCCCTGCTGGGGGCCCGAGCAGCCAACTGCCTCGGAGGCCTCACCCACCCCTTCCCCAGGCACATGCCTCGTCCCGTGCCGGGGTGGGCGGGGCAGCCTAGCTTGCTCACCCACTGGGAGCTGCCTGCATCCCTCACTGGGTTTCTCATGCCATCAGAGTGAGCAGGGGCTGGGAGCAGAGCCCACGGAGTCGGCAAGCGCCAGCCGCTCCCAGGGGTGGCCCTAAGGCAGCCACCTCACAAAGATGGGTCCTGCAGCCAGTTCCTCAGACCCACTGCTCCCTGGGCAGGGGCTTAATCAAGCCAGGCCCGCTCGTCTGTAACCATGTGCACCGCCGAGCCATGCAGGGGTGATCTGGTTCTCTCGCGCTGCCTCCCTTGTGCAAATTTCGATGGGCTTCCTCCAAACTCCTCAAATGGCGCTTGACATGTGATGCGCAGATCCTAACGCAGCCCCTGGCTCTGGAAGGAGAAATGGTCCCCGAGCTGGGAAGGGCCCCTCCCTCTGGTGGGTTCCCATGGGTCCCAGTGCAGCCAAGTGCAGCCAGTGCCCAGCCCAAGCCGCACAACTAACAGGCTGTGCTGCCTCTGGGAGCTAGTGGTGCGTCAGCCTAGGGCACCAGGGAAGGGGACTAGAGGTGCCAAGCAGAGCAAAGGTGGGAGGTGAGGGCCAGGGAGGTGAGGGCTGGGGTGGTGAGGGCAGGGGAGGTGAGGGCAAGGGCCAGGTTGGGGAGGCAGGTCTTTTTTTTTTTTAAGATTTTTTTGATCTATCTGAAAGAGTTACACACAGAGAGAAGGAGAGGCAGAGAGAAAGAGAGGAAGGGAGAGAGAGAGAGAGAGAGAGAGAGAGAGAGAGGTCTTCCATTCCACTGGTTCACTCCCCAGTTGGCCACAATCGCTAGAGCTGCGCTGATCCGAAGCCAGGAGCCAGGAGCTTCCTCCAGGTCTCCCACGTGGGTGCTTGGGCCACCTTCTACTACTTTCCCAGGCCATAGCAGAGAGCTATGGAGCTCCACTCCAGAAGTGGAGCAGCCAGGTCTCAAACCGGCACCCATATAGGATGCCGGTGCTTCAGGCCAGGGCGTTAACCCACTGCGCCACAGCCCGGCCCCTGCAATATATTCTTTGAATTTACGTATTTACTTATTTAGTTTGTTTGAAAGGCAGAGACAGAGATCTTTCACAGGCTTCGCTTTCCTTTTCCCTGTGTGCTTAGTAAACAGTTGTTTTGTGTGTGTGTGTGTGTGTGTTTTGACAGGCAGTGGACAGTGAGAGAGAGAGAGAGAAAGGTCTTCCTTTTTGCCATTGGTTCACCCTCCAATGGCCGGTGCGGCGCACCACGCTGATCCGATGGCAGGAGCCAGTACTTATCCTGGTCTCCCATGGGGTGCAGGGCCATCCTCCACTGCACTCCCTGGCCACAGCAGAGAGCTGGCCTGGAAGAGGGGCAACCGGGACAGAATCCAGCGCCCTGACCAGGACTAGAACCCCGTGTGCCGGCGCCGCAAGGTGGAGGATTAGCCTAGTAAGCCGCGGCGCCGGCCCCCCAATAAATCCTTTAAAAAGTTGGTTTTGAGCTTCACAAGAGAGCGAGCCTCAACTCCCACAGATGGGACAAAGGTTCCATAGTGATCATTGGTTAAGGATCACAACAGAGCCTGACTGGGACAGGTACAGCGGTGAGCGAATGCTCGCTCAGGACCAGGGCAGGCCAGGTGCGCAGCAGAGAGACCCCGCGGCGCTGTTCCCACCCCCGGGACAGGCGGGCTCTGCAGGGCTCCAGCTGTCGGCCGCGCTCCCACTCCGGGGTCCGCGCATTTCACCCGTGGCGGCTGCAATGGACAGCTGCAGCTGTGGCCACAGAAAGCAGTGTTTCCTGGGGCGGCGTCTCCATCCTGGATGAAGCAACACCACGCTAGTTAGTTCGCTGGGAATATCATTTATTTAGGGGTACACTTCAGAATAAGCCACCTTCAGAGGGCAACGCGGGCCACAGTGGCTACTGCGATGCATCCAGGCATTTCATGGGCTAATTCTGATACAATATAAATTACCAAGGCGCTACAGATGGGCACCTGTACTACACACATTCTTCAACTGCTTTTTAAAAGGTAAGGTTAGTTGGTATTTAAAATGTTCAAGTCCTCTGACAAAGTATCTCAACGGTTAAGAATCTGACAAAGAAACGCCCCCACTCGGTTTTCATTGCCAGCAAATTCACTGAAATACAACTTGAGCTTCTAAACCGCACGGCTCCGCCGCAGCCCGGGGCCCTCGGGATGACGGTGTCTCAGGGCCCCATCCTGATAGATGATGCAGGAGAGGATGCGCTGCAAGATGGCAATCGCTTGTACCCCCTGTGGTGGACGTGTCAGAAACCCTTTAGAAACCCTACCCGGAAAGGTACGGCTGTTTCCCCGACTGCACTTCTTGCTCTCTCCATTAGATGGCAGCAACACACCATCTTTGTAGGCAGGGGCGGTCCGAAGGGGCCGGGCCAAGGCCCACTGCCCACCCACTTACTTTTCTGGGTCCACATTAGTACGGTGTAGAATTTGGAAGACAAGAACCAAGAATATTGACTCTAAAGATCTAACGAGACCCACGAGTGCCGGTTGTGGAAAATCAGAAAGGGACAACTCAGAAAGGGAGCCATCACTGAAGGCTCCACCCCAGAACCAGGCAGAGAAGTGACACGCAATCCAGACTGCCCCGGACCGCCAGGGAGGACAGGGCATTAACCTCCCACGGAAAAGGGTGTTTCACAGAACGGAAAGCTCGTCCGTGTTAAACATCAGCTGTATCCAATGACGACAGTCAATGACAGAGCAGTGACATCGTTAAACAATCCAAGGAACAATTACAGGCTCTTTTGCACCTGCCCAGGCACTGGGCTGTCCCCTCCCCCGCCATCCTGGGCACAGGCCGCTGAGTGAACAGTCAGCACAGGACCGTGGCTCCAAGGCGCAGGACCCAGGCTCACTTTACAGATGCTGTGGCGTAACGTAATGGGTTAAGCATCCCATACAGGGTGTTGGCTGTGTCCTGGCTGCTCCACTTCTGACCCAGCTCCCTGTTCACAAGCCTGAGAAGGCAGTGGAAGAGGGCCCAAGGACTTGGGCTCCTGCACCCAAACGGAAGAACTGGATGAAGCTCCTGGCTCCCGCCCAGCCCACTTCTGGCATTGCAGCCATCTGGGGAGTGAACCAGCGGAATGAAGATCTCCATCTCTCTCTGTAACTCTGATTTTCTCGAATGGATACATCTTTTTTTAAAAAGCACTTTGCCTATGCCCCTAGGGAGTGCAGACAGGGCAGCACTTACCATTTTGCATTCCTATGTTGCAGACACACAACTCCAGTGGCTGAAATTCATGCCGATAAAAGCAGGTTTGGCACCAGAGTTGCGAGACGCGTCTCGTGTATCCCAACAGACTCGGGGTAACCAGCGGAGCAAACGTACCCGCGGCTCAGGGCAGGCCATTTGTGTTTTAAAGGAGGGTGATAAGGGAGAAAGAACACAGGCAGGGCCCATGTTCATTCACAGACATTACTCTTGCCAGGAAAGATTTTGGGAGACAATGTGAGCTTAGAACGAAGGCTACGGGGAGAGTATCCCCATCTAGACAAACAGAAAAGGCCAGGCACTCAGAGCAGGGGCAGCTCAGGGCTGTGGGTCAGCCGGAGGCTTAGCAAGGAAGCCATCGGGACCCCTGCTGGGCAGAACTCCTCTTGGAACACATGGTGCTTTGTGCCACCACCCAGCTGGGAACCCCTGGTTTTGTCGGCCTGTGTCACAACCTCAAGGAGAAAACAGCAGCCCGCCACCGCCCCCCGCCTTCCCCTAATCTGCCACACTTCCTATGACCTCCAGGACAGCTGTGGAGCACCCGGGCTACACATGAGCCCCACATCCCTTCCGCCTTTCCCCGCGTACGGAAAACAGACGCGCGTCACAGACCAGAAGAGGAAGCAGAGCCGTGGGCACGGGACAGAAGCTCAGTAACTCACGCTCAGGCTGCCTGCGGAACGGGATTTCATTACACATTCATCAGAATCGCTGGGCGTGGGCCAACGATCATTCAGTGCACAAAGAGAAGTCTAACAACGCTTTCAGCATTTATTAAAATGAGGATAACTGCTTATATTTTCTTTGAAGAATAAGGTTAAGCAAAAAAAAATAAGGTTTCATTTTTGGAAGGTTAAAACAAGTTTAACACAGGAATGATTTGTATATAGAACAGAATAAATATGTGTTGGATGGACTGAAACTCTCGCTACGGAAAATTCAAAGAACACCTCGCACAGTACACAAACCAAGGCTTGTTTAAAACATTCTAACGGTACTTAAACACAGAACGTTCTGTATCAAATTTTTAAAAATCAAAGATCACACAACCCTGTGGCTAAGATCTTAACAGAAAAGCAACAATTTACTAACGTCTAAGTGGTAACAAACAATAGTAGCTAGAAACATACATTTTCCTAAAATTGACCAAGCCAACCTTTCTGTGTGTATTTAAAAGCAGCTTATGGAAGTAAACTTTCCTCGGGTGACAGCACGTTGCCACCTGGACCAACCCCACGCACACACACCCCTGCCTGTTGTAACGACGGCGCTGCTCAGCCGTCCCGCCATGCCTGTATTTCACAGTAGGTGACTGGGGATGGCAGGCCTGTGACAAGCCATCAAGATGCCAGTACTCCGGACCAACGCAACACCTTAAGTGGCTACAGCTGGAGAAGCCTTCGGCCTCCCAGGTTCTCCTGGGCGGTGCAGACCAGGCTGGCGTGCACGGCAGCAAGCAATCCCGGTTGCACTGCAGACCCAGGGTCTACAATCAGGTCCCAGAGCTGCACTTGTCTTTAAATTTACTAAAAATACAAAGCAAATCTAAATTTAGAGCAATTTTAAATGATTGCATAGCAACTAAAATGCACAAAGGCAACAGATATCAGAATTTCTATATAATCATCCAATAAGGAAATAGCGGTTGAGCTTTATAAATTTTCAGGATTTTAAAAAATCAGAAACGGAACCTTGGGGGAGCATTTTATTTTATGATTTGTTATTACCATCATGAAGCCAGCTCTTCACAGTACACCGGTGACTGCTAACTCTGCGGCGTCTTCCTTCGTCTTCCCGCTTCCGTCGGTGACCTGCTGAAAGCCTGCCGAGGACAGCTGAGACCAGGGACACCACTTCCTTAGAGAGGCTCACGGAAAAGGAGCGCATTCTCACGAGCTCCAGAGCTGAGCTGGGACGCGTGGGGACAAAGGACTCCCTGCCCAACGCTGGCCCCACGGCACGCAGCAGCCACGTGGATGCCCTGCGGCTTTGCTTAGGCACCAGGCATCCCAGGCAGCCACCGGCCTGCGCGCTGCTGGAGGACTTGGATGCTCCTGAACTCTCTGCTTGCCTTTCCCGGGGGCCACAGCCCAAACAGCATGCCCCGCTCTGCAGGCGGAGGCGGCAGGGAGAAGAGGGGCAGGTAAGGAACCGAGTGCGTGGAATGGACTCACAGTCCAAGCCTCTCCCACAGGTGCATGGGGCCTCCCAGCCCCGCCCTGTCCCCGGATGAGCGGGTTGGGGCTCACGGCGGCCCAGTCTTAGTGCAGCTTGTTGTGCACGGGGTGGAGCAAGGTCATGTGCTCGGCGCCTTTGAAGGGCAGCTTCTCGGAGGAGTAGTAGCGCACGAGCTCCGGGATGCTGCCGAACACGGCGCTGGTCTGATCCAGGGTGAATCTGTTCTCCTTGGTCTGGGCCACGATGATGTGCACGCAGCCTTGACTGGTCCTGGGGCCAAGCACACATCAGGCAGGGCACATGAGTGAGCGAGCCCGGGAGCTCCCCACCAGCCCCCGCCACGATGCTGGCCAGATTCCTGGGGGGCCCAGGGGTCTCCTCCCCTCTGGGAGTGGACTGCACAGAGACTTGCTGCTCACAAGTCGGGCAGCCCAATCGCGCGCGTCCTGACTGCCCCGAGCCATCAGGTACGGCGCCACAAGGATGACGGGGAAATGCCAACTCCCGCCTAGCCCTCAAGTTACAGAACCTGTGCTTACACCGACATGGGGCGGCACAGGCGAGGCGTCAGCCGTCCACTCTCTCACCACGGCCAGAAAGACGGGTGAGGTTTCTTTCTCCTTGTGTCCAGAAAACAACCCATGAATGCCGCCACTACTACTGCTGCTGCTGCTACTGCTACTGCTACTACTACTACTACTGGTGGTAGTAGCAGTGGTGATAACAATTAAAACTGCTTCCTCCTCCACTTCCCGGGCAGAAAGACTTTGCCCACTTGTGTGTAATGATGGCTGGCACCGCAGGCTCCCAGATCTGAGCGCCGGCGCCGACGTCAGGCTGCCGGGCCGGCCCGCTCGCTCGCCGACAGTCAGGCTGCCGGGCCGGCCCGCTCGCTCGCGGTGCTCGGCGCCCTCCCCGCCCCCAGCGGCCCTGCAGCCTGATTGTCTCAGCGGCAGGGGCTCAGCTTCCTCAGGAAGGAAACGCCGTCAGGGCTCCTGACAATGATCCTCCAATGCAGTGGCACCGCGCTCACAGAGCAGCGAGAATTTCCATGACACACGCTCTGGGGCCGGAGTTCTCTGTGCACAGGCAGCACGAGCGGGAGGTGAGGCAGCACCTCCTTCTCCACCAGCCGGATGGGTATCCAAACTGCAGGTGGCATTTCGGTGGTCAGGGCATCTGATTTATTAAAGCCCTCCCCCCCCCACCAAGGCGAGGGAAGAGAAGCCTGACCACCCCATAGGAGTTACTCTTTTGATGGGGGGCCGGTTCTCCAAGTGGGAAGGCCCACTGCAGGCCAGGTGATGTGAGGTGCAGATGGACCCATGTCCAGCGGTAACGAACCAGGACCCCCACTCTGGCGGCAGAATTGGGACTTGCACCCAACCCCAACCGAGCACGTCATCACGGCAGTTCGTGGGAATGCCCCTGAGCTTCTGGCGACACGCGACCCTGGGGGCACCTTCCCGAGATCTCGTTTTGGACAGGGAACCTCCCCGGGACAGGAAGGGCCATCACGGGGCACCCCCCCGCTCCTTGAAGGCGGTGGGCGTGGGTACTTACTTCAGCGCGATGGAGTACCTGCTGCTCCCCGACTCGCTGTTTCGAACCAGGTAGCCGGCTTCTCTGCAGGGCTGTAGCCGGCTCTCGGCCTCAGCTCGGGTGATGGCGCCATGGTACCACCTGCAAAGGGGGCGGGGGAGACGCCTGAGTGCCAGATCCAGACCGGGCATCGTGCCACAAAGCACTGCTTGCAATGAACTCCTCAGCAGCCTGATCCAGGTCCTGGTCCCACTCAGAACAGACAAAATACAGATGGGAGGGAGGGGGGAAGGGGCTCTGGCTCTCAAAGCCTCGCAATCCTACCAGAGGGAGTTTGCAGGCCAGAGTCATTTAAAAAGTTTTCGCCCTGGCTAGGAGGACGGAATTGTAAATTAAGTTTCTTGAGATGTGGTGCACTTCCATCCTGCACGAGTGTGCCGGCCTGGGAGAGACGGGCTGCGTACCGAGCCCCACGGCACAGGCGAGGAAGCGCACGCAGCACAGAAGCGGACGCAAGCCTGGCAGAGGGTCTGTAGGGGACTCACGGCTGCTTCTCCAGGGGCAGGCCTGGGTCCACTTTCTCGCCTTCGCTGTGCTCAGGCAGGGCTGGCTTCAGGATCTTCTGGGTCCAGCTCTTCTGCCGGTGGTGCTGCCTCGGCGCCTCCTCCTTCACGGCCGCTCGCTCGGCGCCTTCGAACTGGACTGCAAGGAAGATGCCATTCACCGTGGGGCCCCGAAGCAAGGCGCCCTTCTTTGCGCCCGCTCCGCTCAGGAGCTCTGCGAAAAGCCCTGGGCGGCGGAGCTCCTGCTGCCTCTGGTGCCTGACCCCGCTGCTGCTACCCGCGCACGTGCAGCCCCTGTTCTGCTGGGCGTTCCTCAGCTTCAGAACACGACAAGAAACCACTTCACTGCACTCAACACACACGCTCAGCATTTTCATAATGAAAGACCGAACACGTTCATGGCAGTGGCTCCTTGCAAGAGTGTGTGTGTCTCATTCTATGAAACCAAACAGTTTTTTCCTATGACGTGACAAAAACAAAAATCAACTCAGAAACACAAAGATAGGAACACACCAGAGGTGATGACATCCAGGCTGGACGGGAGACAGTGAGGAAGTGGCAGCACCGATACAGGACCACGACAGCAGCGGACACCCGCAGAGACCGACCAAAATCAGTACTCGACTCAGTACTCGCTTTCAAACATATTACTGCCTCCATCGGACCTTTTACACTGGCTACACTTTTTGTTTTTTAAAGATTTCTTTGAAAGGGAGAGTTAGAGAGGGAGGAAGTGGGGGGGGGGGAAGAGAGAGGGAAGGAGGAGAGAGAGAGCGATCAATCTTCTATCCACTGGTTCACACCCAAAATGGCCACAATGGCCAGGGCTGGGCCAAGCTAAAGCCAGGAGCTTCTTCTGGGTCTCCCACATGGGTGCAGGGGCCCAAGCACTTGGGTCATCTGCTGCTGCTTTCCCAGGCGCATTGGCAGGGAGCTGGATTGGAAGTAGAGCAGCCAGTGGCTTAATCCACTATGCCACAGCGCTGGCCTCACACTGGCTATACTTTTAGCTGCAAACCTGACTATATAGTTAGAGTGATGTTATTGTTAGAAATGATGTGGTCAGCCAAGTAGAGAAGCTGTACCTTGGGAGAAGCAGGAGGGAGGAATATCTTGACTATTTATTGACAACCTACTCACCAACTTTCTCTGAAGTGATTTAAAAAATTCACACTTGAAGAACTGGATTTCTTTAGGAGGATTTTGAAAACAAGACAGAAATCCCAGCTTCACCCGGCTTCCCAATCACCTCTCCCTGTAGCCATTCTAGCCAGCACTGCCATTTTATACACAGGGATTTTAACCAGCACCGACTCACACTGGAGAAAGCTGCTCCCGGGCTGGGCTTGGGGCGCCGAGGGTTAAGCTGCCACCTGCGACAAGGGATCCCAAATCTGAGCGTCAGCTGGGGCCATTTGAGAAGTGAACCAGCGGATGGAAGAAGCTTTCTCTCTGTCTCTCCCGGTTACTCTGCCTTTCAAATATATTTTAAAAAATCTTAAAAAAAAAAAAAAAACCCAGAATTTATTTTATATATAAAGAAAGAAAAAGCTGCTCCCTGCCCAGAAGCTTCACTAGTGGGAAAATAAGTGCTCAGATGTTTTTTCAGCAGTCACTTAAGGCGCTTCCACAACAGCTGCACCCTGGGAAGCGAAGGACAAATAAAGGCACCCACAGGATCAGAGAGAAATGCGACACCAAGGCTCCGCTTCAGTCCTGGCCTTTATCCACAGTGAGGTTCTTAGCTCCCAACCTCAAGTTCCTCGGAAAAAAAGAGACGTGCAGTGAGGAATATAAAGGAAATGGATTTGGAAAACAGGCAAAATCCTCTCTTCTTGTTCATCTGAAAATTACAAAACATCACCGTCAACAACAGTCACCCTGCTGTGCGACTGAGCAGAGGATGTAATCCACTGATCTGGCTGACTTTGAACCTGCTCACCAGCCTCTCCCGGCCCCTCTCCCCTCCCCACTCTGGTACCCAGGATCCTACTCCTGACTTCTTCGAGGCCACTTTTCCATATTCCACGTGAGTGAGACGATGCAGTGAGGGAGGCCTGAGGTGCAGGAAACCCAGATGCATATACTGAGGCACCACACTGTGCTCAGTGAGCGGTATACTTAGTGCTAATCAAAATCAAAATTTCTTATTTATCTAGGGGAGAGAGATAGAGAGAGAGAGAGAGAGAGAGAGAGAGAGAGAGAGAGAGAGAGAGAGAAACTCCCCAAGGTGCCCACAACGGCCAGGGCAGGACCAGGCTAAAGCCAGAAAGTAGGAACTCAGGCCAGGTCTCCCACGTAGGTGACAGGAGCTCTGTGGCCTGCGGCTTCCTGGGGTCTGCATTAGTGGAGAGCTGGGGTTGGGAACCAGACCCTGGCAGCCTTTCGTGGGACGTGGGCATCTTAATTGCTAGGCTAAAGCCCACTCCTTTTACTTTTAAATGCCTGGCATCCAAGTTTTGTTTTTTATTAACATTTTTATTGATGATTTACTTGACAGCCAGAGCCAGACACAGAAAAAACTCCCATCTGCTGGTTTACTCCCCCCAAAAGCCCAAAAGCACCCGACAAGCAGACAGCCAGGCACTCAATGTAGGTCTCCCACGTGGGCGGCAAGGATCCAGCCAGTGCCCCAAGCAGCGTTTTAGGCAGAGTGCCCGCCACTGCCTTCCCCCTCCCCCCTCCCCCAAGTCTTCCAACAGAGGGGCTGGTGGGCGGGGCTCCATGGGCGGGGCTCCAGTAGGGGCGTGGCGGCCGCAGGCCCCACCCTCACCTGACAGCGCCCGAACGATCTGCTCCCTCTTCCACTCCCAAGGCTGCTCGTACTCGGCAGCCGGCCGCTCGTCGCTCTCGGGCAGCCGGCTGTCCGGGGGCCGCGCCTTGCCGTCGGGCTCATAGGGCGTGTCGTAGAGCTGCGGTGGCTTGGCCAGCAGGTCCTTGGAGCTCCGTCTCTTGGCCGAGGCCTCTGGCTTCCCGCCGTCCTGCCCAGGCTCGCAGGGGCTGTCCCGTAGCTGAAGCGCCTTCACCAGGGGGTCTTTGGAGCCGCGGCGCCTGATTTCTGAAAAGCACAGGTCACACACACTAGGTGGAGAGCAAAGGCGCCCCGGAGCCCGGTCACCTGTGCACCGATGACTGCCCCTGTGGTTAAGGGTGGCAGGCCACCCACGTTCCTCCTTAAGGGGCTGGCTGTTTCCCAGTGGGACTCCAAAAGCGGGAGGCCGGAGCCCACAGTGTCCTCCCTCCGGCCAGGCCACCGCTGAGCCAGACAAGGCGGGCAGTGGAGGAGTTGGAGCAGGCAGCGCAGGTGCGGCCGGGAGCACCCCAGGGAGCCGCAGCCTCCAGGAACCTGCTCCAGCTCCTGCTGTCGGCTCTAAGTTCACCTTCCAAGTTTTTAAAATCCTGCTGGCAAGTCCAGAGCAAAGCCTTTTTAACAAAGATCAGCTGAGCGCTTGAGATGCTACAAAGCAGAGCTGCATACCTGCACAGGGGCCACACTTGCAGGCATCTGACAGAGTTCTTGACTTGGGGGCTGCTTCAAACATGGGGGGGGGGCAGCCAGACCCAGGCACTAATAAACACATGCGGTTTCACAGGAAATCAAAGCAGAGAGGTGTGAGGGGGCAGCACCAATAACCCAACGCTGCCCTTTCTGCTGGTAGGCGCTGCCCTGGGTGTGCTGCCCGGCCCCCCGCACTGACAGCCACGCCAGTTCCTTGCGCATCACAGAAAGGCAGGCTCCAGAAGAGAAAGCTGGAGGGAATCATCCAGACCAAGGCGTGGCGGAGCCTGGATTCCAAAGCAGGAAGCCGGGGCCCCACAGCCACATTCTTAGCTACCAGGCCAGGGGCCATTCCAAGTGGAAGAGAAATGGCAGATGAGCCGACTGACAGAGAGGGCCGTTTCCAGGGGAGGAAGCTGCCCGCGCCGAGGCACAGAGGTGGGCACTGGACAGGGTTGCTCCTGCCAGGGGGAGTGGATGGAGAAGCCTAAAGCACAGAATGCCAAGGGGCAGAAGCTCCAAAAGCAAGGACGAAATGTCTGGATTGTTCTGCAGGCAATGCACTCATACTTCGTTTTTAGAACAGGGAGTAGCAATTATATCCATGTTTCACTGGAAGATACCTACACACACACTGTACAGCCTGGCCCATGTATCAGGGTGCCAGAGTTGGAGTCCCAGCCCTGCCCCCAGTCCAGCTTCCTGCTAACGTGCACCCTGGGAGGTGGCAGGAGATGGTTCAAGTAGTTGGGCTGCTGCCACCCACGTGGGAGACCTGGATGGAGTTTCTGGCTCCTGGCCGGATCTAGGGATGTTGTGGGCATTTGGGGAGTGAACCAGTGGATGAGAGCTCTGTCTCACTGCTTCTCAAATTAAAACAAACCAATAAGCAAACAATCAATTGTTAAAAAGTAGTACAGTCTGTGTGGAGGCACAGAAATGGATGGGAAAAACCTGATGCAAACTGACCAAGCAGCTGCTAACCAGCCAGCCTAGCACAGTGGCATGGGGACTGACCAGCCTGGAGCTTCTAGGTGGAGGAGGAGATGAGTCTGTGAGTTTAGAAAACCAGAGCTGGTGACAGAGACCACGTGGAACTCCGGTTCCCTGCACACTGCACTGCCTCACGCCCACCGTGTCCTGGGGATCTTCGAATCCTTTGCAACTTTGTCCTTTGGAGAAGCCTTTCCTGCCCACCTTCTCCTCCAACGCCCCACAGGGCGATGAGGGGCCGTGGTGGTGCCAGCCCACTCCCACCCTGCCCTTCTCCCACGGCACGGATTTCCCTGTGGTTGCGTATGCCCAGTGTGATGGAGACCACCAGGGAAGGGACCCCCGTGCCTTACGTGTACAGCACGTGCAGTTGTGAAATAATGGCTACGTGCACGCATGGACGGGAGGCGGGAGGGCGGGCAAAGGGCTCTGGAGCCTCTCCCGGCAGGGGGCAGCGTGGATGTGCGGGGGCCATCGAGGAGTTGCTCCTGAATGGATCGCTACTGTGGGAATGTGGGAATGAAGGCACTCGCTAGAGCAGAGGAGGGCAGAGTGAAAGCCAGAGGGGCTCAGAGGCAGATCCCCGGCTCCCTCAGCCAAGCGTGGCTGGAAGTGGACAGGTGGGCAGGAAGAGGATCCAAGGACAGCAGCACCCGGGAGAGAGATGATGGAAAGACTTTCCCTCTGTAACTTCCGAACAGGACGGTGGACAGGAGAAGAATCAGCCACTCCCCAACAAGGAAAAGATAGCAACGAGAGAAAGACACCAAATTCAAAACCTGTCCATAGGTGAGGTTACCGTTCCGCTGCGCGGGGCCCTCCGCTCTCTCATGAGCGTCACTGGGGAGCCGCTGACTTAGCAGGTCCGGGGTGCATCCTGGGAGGCAGCTTCTGAGTGTCCCCGGACAGTCCATCAAGCAGCGAGCCCAGGACCTCTGCCACACCTCCCGGGTCTCGGCGGTCCCATCGAAGTTCTCCGCTCTCCAGAGCGAACCTCTCCTGGCTGGCCCCAGCCCGAGGATGAGGGCACTGTCAGCTCCCCAAGTCCTCTACATGGCCATCTCGGGTCCCCAGGCCAGGCCAGATGCCTGGGGTCATCCGAGGTCAGGATTCTATCTCTGGCCCAATCTCCCGACTTCCAATCCTACAGCTTTTTTTCTTCATTGCCTATTCTAGATGGGGCTACGGAAAACAAGAAACAAAAACATACTCTGTTCTTGGTTCAGTTAAGATAAGGCTGGAATTTCTAAAAAAGAACTTTTCCTTAAGAACTAAGAAAAAGGAAGCAAGAAAACACAAAGGAATTCCAAGGATGAATTTTGAGTTCTTAGGTTTCTGATCAAAACTTGTTGACCCTCGTGGAGAACGTCTGGCACTGGCTGGGAAGTCCTTCCTCGGGTCCCCTTCCCTCCTGCCCCAGCTGAACCACGAGGAAGACGGAGGGATGCTGGCTCCCAAGGAAGTTCAAGTCAGTTGGCATTAAAATGCTACCCAGTGATAAGGATCTTAAGTTCTTCCTTCGCTTGCATTTGAGGTTTTCTTGTGTAATGAGAGCCTTATACAGAATGCTACTTCAAAAAGCTCATGAAAAATGCGAGGGATAAGTTTATTTTCGTAGGAAAAAAAATTGCAGTCTGTACCAGGGGGTCTCCAAGGTTTGTGCAGTGTGTACTGTAAGAGAACTGTGCATGGATTTCAACATCTTTTGCCTGGGCTTCTTGCACCAAGACAGACATCTTTCATTTCTACTTGCTCTGAGCTTTTTAGGTCCTCTTGCATTCCTCCCTGTTATGGGCTGCGTAACAGTTTGGATGTCCCCACAAAGGTGCATGTTTGGGGGGACTGACCCCCAAAGCCTTATGTTAATGGATAATGGACTAAGAGGGAGACAAGCTAATTATGGCACCCAGCAGAGGGGGTCCAGCGGGAGGCTCTTGGTCACTGGGGGCTTGCCTGGGAAGGGGACTCTCCAGAGAGGGCTGGTTCTTCAAGCTGAGTCCAGCCCAGCTCCCCTCTGCTCCTTGCCTCACCCTGGGATCCTCCCTCGTACCTCTTCTGCCACCCACTGTCCTCATCAGAGGACCGATGGACAGGGCAACCTAACCTTGGACGGAGAGCTCTGATCAACTTCCTGCCTCCCTCCCCCAGTAACTCTGCTCAGGTCCTTGTTACACAGTAACAAGAAGTTACAGGGTACACTGGGAGAGCTGGGAGCCTCCCCGGGAAGCCCACAACGAGAATGAGCCTTCCAGCACCAGGCAGAATCTGCACACTATCATCTGCTGAAACAACCTTCAATCAAGGGAAAAACGGCTGTGCACAGGTCCCCGCCCCTCCACGGGGAGTGACCCCCAGTCCATTCCAACACCTGGCCACCCCTAACCTGAGGCGCCATAGAAACAGAAACAATCGCAGGGCTGCGAGCCGACCCTTCCTGCAGGGAGAATAACTCCTGACGTGCAGAGCTGGCTCCAAGAGGAAACGAGCCTGAGAAGGAGGAAATGGCAAGCGGAAGCTACACCCTGGCTGCCGACAGAGGCCATTTACCACGGCAGACCACGGCGCATGGACGGTGGCAGATAAACACTGGTTCGCAGCCATCGCCGAAATGCAGCGCTGACCTGCAGCACTCAGCGTGGGCAACGGGTGGCGTGAAACCCGGCGGGGGCTGAACAGGAGCGCTCAACCGCCATCTTGCCGCCATTCACTTTTAAAACCCGGCTGAAGACGAAGGCTTTCTTTACCAGACTGTCGCAGCGAGCTGTTCTTGTTGCTCTCGAGCGCTCAGAACTCTGACGATGGGGCTCTCTCGGGAGCGTCTACAAGGTGCTCCCACGAGTCACTGCATACCCAGTGTCTCACCGAGGCCTCCTAACAGTGACATCTGTGTGATCCCATTTGCACAGGCAAATAAACTGAGCCCACAGCGATGCAGCAGGTGGTGAGGAGCCATTTACTCCAGACTCCAGAGCCCCTGTCTTTCGTTATGCTCAAAAGATTTCATGTCAAATGTTAATGACAATTTCTAAATAATGCACCCTTTCTTCTGATCCCTTTCATATTTCTAAAACATTAAATTTGGAGCCTCATGGGGGTCTATTTTCCTCTTGGAATCAGAAACAGGGCTGGTAGGCAGCTTTTTTTAAACTCACATCTTTTATCACTGCATAAGCTTTTGATTTAAAGTTTCTTTAATTGTTTCTTAAAAGATAAATTGAAATATCTGAACAAAGCAGGGGTAAGTCAGAAACCATGACATTCACTAAGTAGGGACAAATTACATAAATCAGATTTCATTTATAAATTTTTCCTTAATCCTTTTATTTTTTTTTTTTTTTTTTTTTTTTTTTTTTGGACAGGCAGAGTGGACAGTGGGAGAGAGAGACAGGGAGAAAGGTCTTCCTTTGCCGTTGGTTCACCCTCCAATGGCCGCCTCGGCCGGCGCACCACGCTGATCCTAAGCCAGGAGCCAGGTGCTTCTCCTGGTCTCCCATGCAGGTGCAGGGCCCAAGGACTTGGGCCACAGCAGAAAGCTGGCCTGGAAGAGGGCCAACCGGGACAGAATC